TCCAACACTGGAAGTTTTTAAGAAGAGATTGGGCAACCATTTGTCTGGAATGGTATAGGATCTATGGCTAAGGGACTTGGGTTTGGCTAGTCTAAAGAAAAGAAGAAATAGGGGAGACATGATAACAGTGTTCCAGTATCTCAGGGGCTGCCACAAGGCAGAGGGGGGCCGGTTGTTCACCAAAGCACCGGAGGGAAGGACAAGAAACAATGGTTGGAAACTGATCAAAGAGAGAAGCAACCTGGAATTGAGGAGAAACTTCCTGACAGTGAGGACAATCAACCAGGGGAACAGCTTGCCTTCAGAAATCGTGGGTGCTCCATCACTGGAGATTTTTAAGAGGAAACTGGACATTCACCTGTCTGAGATGGTATAGATTCTCCTGCTTGAGTAGGGAGCTGGACTAGAAGACCTCCAAGGTCCCTTCCAGCTTTATTCTATTCTATTCTATTCTATTCTATTCTATTCTATTCTATTCTATTCTATTCTATTCTGTTCTGTTCTATTCTACTCTACTCTACTCTATTCTCTCTTCCATATTGTCTATTCTATTCTATTCTATTCTATTCTATTCTATTCTCTCTTCCATATTGTCTATTCTATTCTATTCTGTTCTGTTCTGTTCTATTCTATTCTACTCTATTCTATTCTCTCTTCCATATTGTCTATTCTATTCTATTCTATTCTATTCTATTCTATTCTATTCTATTCTATTCTATTCTATTCTATTCTATTCTCTCTTCCATATTGTCTATTCTATTCTATTCTGTTCTGTTCTATTCTATTCTATTCAACTCTAAGTCTAAGTCTAAGTCTAAGTCTAAGTCTATTCTATTCTATTCCATTCCATTCCATTCCATTCCATTCCAATTCATTACTTTAACGCCTCCAAGATTTTGTTTGCATTTGACTATCTGCCTTGTCAAGGCACTGAAATAAGTCATTGTTTTCAGGGGAAAAACAGCACAAGATCAGCAGTGGGAAACAGCCATAAAAAAATAGGAAGACACCCAGCCCAACGCCCAGCAGGCTGTTGATGGGAGGAGGAAGAGATGGAAAGGGATTCTGTCAATTTCAGAAGGAGTCTCTGAGGGAAGTCAGGGATAGGAAACATTAGGGAGTCCCTCTCCTGTTCTTCAACTAAAATCACCACCTTTCTATCCCGCTGGATCAAAACTGCAGTGACGGAAGAGAGAATTGTCTCCATTCCCTGAAGTGTTCTTGGTGGTAGATCAACAATTGGAAGCACCAATTCAGAGCGGTTTGTAAAATTTCTTTGCAGCAATTTCTTCCTCCATAGTTTCTGCTCCAGTGTTTCTTCCAGAAAAGGCGTTTCCTCTGTGCCCTCCACAGGCCACACTTTTCCTCCAAATGTCATCCCCACTACACAAACACCATCCCACCTGAGCCAAGAGTTCAAGTGGAGGAGTGATTGATCTCCTCCTTGCACTTCTGGCCCCCAAGGCAACGATAATTCAGGACCTATCTAGCCCTTGGCAAGAAGGAGGGAGAGAATTTGTACTCACTTAGGCCAGGGCTAGGCTTGGCTCTTTTATGACTCGTGGACTTCAACTCCCAGAATTCCTGAGCCAGCATGGCTCAACGTGGAAACCTCTCCTTTCCCCTCAGCATGGCTGGCTAGGAATTCTGGGAGTTGAAGTCCACGAGTCATAAAAGAGCCAAGGTTGCCTACCTCTGGCCTAGGCCTAGGCCGCTTTATGACTGGTGGACTTCAGCTCCCAGAATTCCTGAGCCAGCATGGCTCAACATGGAAACCTCTCCCTTTCCCCTCAGCATGGCTGGCTCAGGAATTCTGGGAGTTGAAGTCCACGAGTCATAAAAGAGCCAAGGTTGCCTACCCCTGACTTAAGCAAAACGAGAACAGGAGCCCTGAAACAGATTCCACCCAAAATGACTCCATATTGGCCCAAAAGTGCCTCAAACCCGTTTCCTGCACGAACCCCATATAGTCATTGCAGTCTTGAGACAATTTGTGTCCACATCCTTTGGGGCAACCCCAGACTCAACCACGAGGCTGAGGCAAGCAACAGGCAACCAATCGTTCCTCATTTCGGTCTGACAATCAAACTTCCCAGATATGCAACAATGCAGAAGGTTTGACTCTCCATAGATACTACAAAACAAAATCCTACAGGATAAACCTGTCACATTTTTATAGCAAGCACAATTAAGCAAGCAAGAAAAAAAAATAGACATCATATTGTTTATTTTATAGGAGCTAACAGAAACACATTCCAAAACAGATGCTAACTTGTAGCATTTTTAATATGCTGAAAATGCAAAACCAAACACTGATGACCAGGAGCTGATACAAATATGTTTGGACTAATGAGAAATATTTAGTTTAAAAGACTGAAAAATAAGTCAACGGTTTGCCTTTCTCACATCATATTATACTTTAATGCACTTTGAACATTTTCACAATTTAAATGGCTAATCTCTCATAAACATCTAAATGTGGTGTGTGTATGTGTGTGTGGGTGGTTTTTTTTTTTTTTTTTTTTTTTGCTATTTACTCACCAAAAACAGAAGTAAGAAAGATATGCTGGCCTATATTTTTTTTCCATGTCAGCTGCAAGTCGCATGAACTGAGTGAAATCATTAACCAGCTTTCGAAGGAGAAGTTTGGCTACCTTTTATTGCAATGACAATGAAATCTCCTTTGTCAGGGAAAAATACTTTTGCTTCATAAAGAGAAAAGAACTTAATGAATCCAGCCTAACCCAACAAGACTGCATAAGTGTAATTCGTAGGGCAAACACTATTCTCTCATCTCCCAATGTTCAAAAGCAGGGGGTCTTCAAACTTGGCCCTTTTGTGACTTGTGGCTGAGGAATTCTGGGAGTTGAAGTCCACAAGTCATAAAAGGGCCAAGTTTGAAGACCTCTGCTCAAAAGGGATCTCTCTCTCTCACTCGCTCTCTTGTGGTCTTGTGAGGAACAACTGTTTGGAGCACTTGTGGGAGATCTCAAGTCTTCTCCTTGTTCAGAGAAAAATTATGAACAGCTGGTGTACTCACTGCCTTTTCGGTTTTTTGCCATGGTTTTTGGCTCCACTTTCGGTGGAGCTGGTTTTTTTTTTCCCCTGCCATTTTTAAACTCTAGAATCTGATTTCTTTTTCTAGTAAAAGGATTTGATTGCTCATCCCACAGGTGCTTTTCAAAGGTCAACTGGAATTTCTTGGTTTGCCCTTGAAAATGTTTTGCTTCTTATCTAAGAAGCTTCTTGGAATGATATTCCCCACCATTCAGTCAGAACTGAAGAAGCTTCTTGGATGAGAAATGAAGCATTTTCCAGGAAAAATCAAGGAGGTCCAGCTGACTTTGGGACAACCATGATCTGGATTATTGTGACTCCCCATAGGTATTGGGTTCTAGACTGTTGGCTTTTTTCATAAAATATTAACTCTTATTATTTGTTTTTGTAAAAAATAATCTCATCTGGGGATCTTACCTAAACTTTGACTTTCAAGACAAATCCTTGTAAGATCCTTTGTCCAGTCATCGGATGACTATTGACTTGCCAATCTTCTTGCAAAAAGTACAATGGCCCAAATCATCTCTACTTCCATCTCTGTGTAAGGGATGTGAACCTTGAATCCAATTCTACATGATCTAGACATTTGATTTTGCCCTTGTGTGTCCAAAAATGCTTCTTCACAATTGCCAAAAAACAAGGGAATTTCAGTCAGAAAGCCCACATGCTATAGGCCAGTGATGGCGAACCTTTTAGAGACCAAGTGCCCAAACTGCAACCCAAAACCCACTTATGCATCGTTGGGTGCCAGATGGGTGTGGCCCATTGGGTGGGCATGGCTGCGGTGGTAACAGCAGACTGGGTGGGACTAAAAAGTTCAATCAATCAATTCCAACTTTGCAAGATCTTTTTTTTTCCCCGTGAGAAGTTGAAATTGACTGATTGATTGAACTTTTTTTTTTTTTGTACACGGCGGCGGAGGCCTAAAACGAAAAGGTTTTATAAAACCCAGCTGAAGGCCTAAGCCTGGGGCGACGGTGCGTGTGCCCACAAAGAGGGCTCTTAGTGCCGCCTCTGGCACCCGTGCCATAAGTTCGCCACCACTGCTATAGGCATATGGTGATGTTCAAGATTTGTGAACCTAATGAAGAGGCTCATCTGGAAACTTCAGCATCATAACCTATAACATTTCTAGTTATTTTATTTTTTTTACAATAAAGCCACACACCTGAAGGTTTACCATTATAAACAACATGGGTGTGGATTGCTCATTATTTGTCATGGTGGCCATAATAGATGTGTTTGCTTAAGGTGAATCCATGGGGCCTCAGATACAACTATCTGTTATATCAGAGAAAAGCTGCACTCACACAATTCACTAAGCCAAAACATGGTTTGTTCTTGTCTTTTTGCTACATGAAACAATATGGTCTTAGTGTTAGATGTGAACCAGGCCGCTATCTGCAGCCTAGTTCATCTTTGGCCAACTAAAAGTAAAATAATAGAGGACGTTTCATTTCTCAGTGCTTGGCTTTTATTTTGAATGTTCCAGAGTCTAGACCAGGGGTAGGCAACCTTGGCTCTTTTATGACTGGTGGACTTCAACTCCCAGAATTCCTGAACCAGCATGGCTCAGTTTGGAAACCTCTCCCTTTTCCCTCAGCATAGCTGGCTCAGGAATTCTGGGAGTTGAAGTCCACGAGTCATAAAAGAGCCAAGGTTGCCTACCCTGGTCTAGACAGATGCAGAGGTTTGTCAAATATTGTGCTCCTTACTTAAACTCCCACTTAGTTTATTTTCTATGTACTTTTTAATCTAGAATTTAAAGCTTCGCAATCTTGATTTAATTTAGGCAATGTACAGTATAATGAAGAAGGAATGTCTGCCCCATGCATTTGGGATCTTAGCTTGGAAATATTGTACTCAAAAGAAGCCACTCATGTTACAAATTCTTTCTGCACATTTTTTTTCCCCCCAGAGACACAGCAAGGACATTCAACCAGTTTGTCTAAGTGCAGCATCAGCAACTTTATTTACAAATACAAAAGAAAACAGAAAGAAAAAATTCTTCAGTCATATTAACCTGTTTGAGGTGCAATGGAGAGTTACATTTTTCAAACACGGGACGAAAAAGGAGTTTTCACAATTTCCCCAACCGGATTCAAACTGTTAAAGCACAAAGGGAGATGGAAGAAAGTGAAGTGGACAGTTTTAAAAGGGTAATATTACTTAAGCGTAGCTTAACTGAGATAAAGACTGCAACCACCTCCGCGTGTCTTCAAATGTAAATCTCGCAAAGTTCTGCACAACTCTCTAGAACGTGATGACTTCCTTATAAATATTTCAAAATAGGGGGTTTTTTTTATGAAGGAGGAAGTGTGTCTTCTACATGATCTAGACAGCCAAACTTCTGGTCCTATAAAACACACCCACTCCAAATATTTATAGATTTGCAGCAGCCATTTCCTTCTCTGTCTGTTGCAGAGGCTTCTCCTTCTCCTTCTTCGGATCACATGGTGGTCGCCTGTCCAGCTATCAATATCAGAAAGAAAAGAAGACAAACTGCTAAGCGCAGAGTAAATTCAGAGTATTTTTTTTAAAAAAAAATGTTTGTATACAGTTAGTCCTTGACTTACAATAGTTTGTCTAGTGGCAGTTCAAAGTTCACAACAGGACAGAAAAAGTGAGTTATGACCGTTTTTCAGACTTATGACCGCTGCAGTATCCCCATGGTCATGTGATCAAAATTCATTTGCTTGGCGACTAACTCGTATTTATGACGGTTGCCATGTCCCAGGGTCACGTGATCCCCTTTTGCGATCCTCTGACAAGCCAAGTCAAGGGGGAAGTCAGATTCACTTAACAACTGTGTTGTTAATTTAACAACTGCAAGGATTCACTTAACAAATGTCGTAGGCAAGAAAGGTCGTAAAATGAGTCAAAATTCATTTAACAAATGTTTCGCTGAGTGACATAACTTTTGGGCTCACTTGTGGTTGTAAGTGGAGGATTACCTGTTCTAATTATCCTTATTTACAGTGCTTTTAAATAAAAAGGTCTTTCCTCTCCCCAAAGGTCCTTTTCCAAAAGGCAACTGGACTTTGTTTTTTTTTCTTTGAAAGCGTTTCACCTCCTCCAAGAAGCTTCTTCAGAGAACTGAAGAAGCTTTTGGGATGAAAAGTGAGATGTTTTCAAAGGAAAAAACCCCACCAAGACAGTCCAGTTGCCATTTGGAAAAGTACCTTTGGAGACAACCATCACCTGGATGATTGAGACTCTCCCTAGAGCAGTGTTTCTCAACCTTGACAATTTTAAGGCATGTGGACTTCAACTCCCAGAATTCCACAGCCAGCATTGCTGGCTGTGGAATTCTGGGAGTTGAAGTCCACATGCCTTAAAATTGTCAAGGTTGAGAAACACTGCCCTAGAGGTCTTTCTCTTCCAGCTTCCCAATGGCTGCTGAAATGTATTCGTGACACAAGAAGTTTTCTAAAGTGCCATTTTGGGAGCCCTTCCGTAGCTAGCAGGCGTAGCTCTAAGAATAGACCTTGATTCTCAGGCCTCAAAGGCAAGGAAGGAAGGAAGGACAATTTAGTGACATCAAGGGCTGCCTGGTAACTACTAGTCACGATGTCTAGAAGCTTCTAGACCCAACATGGAAGATGCATCGGAGGCCAGGAGAAACATCTTCCATGCTTTGGTAGCCCATCGTCCCTCCACAGCAGTTCACACCAAGCTCAGCACATTTGGCCTTTTGCCTTCCATTTGCCTTCCGTTTGATATCAGAAGTTCTTTGCTCTTCCAAAGTCTCCCAAAAGCTTGGACAAAGAAGGCCAGTGGAAAGAGATGGATGGAACGTGCAACAGTATAAATAGCAATAGCACTTAGACCAGTGTTTCTCAACCTTGACAATTTTAAGGCATGTGGACTTCAACTCCCAGAATGCTGGCTGTGGAATTCTGGGAGTTGAAGTCCACATGCCTTAAAATTGTCAAGGTTGAGAAATACTGACTTAGACTTATATACCACTTCATAGTGCTTTACAGACACCTCTAAGCGGTTTACAGAGTCAGCCTATTGCCCCAACAATCTGGGTCCTCATTCTACTGACATAGGAAGGATGGAAGGCTGAGTCAACCTTGAGCCATTCAGGATCGAACTACTTAGCCTGCAATACTGTATTCTAACCACTGGGAGAGGTGGAAGGAAGGAAGGAATAGCAATAGCACTTAGACTTATATACCGCTTCATAATGTTTTACAGACACCTCTAAGTGGTTTATAGAGTCAGCCTCTTGCCCCCAACAATCTGGGCCCTAATTTTACCGACATCGGAAGGATGGAAGGCTGAGTCAACTTTGAGCCGGTCAGGATCCAACTCCTGGCTGTGGGCAAAGTTTGCTTGCAATACTGCATTCTAACCACTGAGACAACCAAGCATGTCTCAAATGTGCTTTCTTGGTTTTTTGCTTTGAAAACATTTTGCTTCTCATCCTTGACGTGAAGAAACTCCTTGGATAACAAACAAGATGTCTTTAAAGGAAAAAAAAAACAAGACTTTGCATGCATGGTTTTTATATGAAAAGCTTTGTTGTGCAGAGGGCAGGATGGCAAATCACAAAAAGGGTGTAGTAACGTCACAAGGCAAACCTAAGTCACAATGGGACCGGCCTTTCACGGCATGCCTTTTGGCATTATTTCACCATCGGGGATTTAAAAAGGCTTAAAATAACATATTTCTTTTTCATAAAAAGTTTGTTTACAAAATAAAACGATTAAAATTCAGCATGAGTTTCCCTGTATACATTCTGTGACTTAGTCCTCATTTTAACACAAAGCAGGCTATTTTTATTTTTGGGGTTTTTTTGATGCATAAAATGAAATGCAAACAATTTTAAAAAGGCGTGTTGTTTCTTTTCCCCTCCAATTGGAGGGACTTTAAAAGCCACTTCCTCCAGTTCCCTAACTGGCGCACAATCGTAAGTTAGAAATACGCTGCAATGCTTTTAAAGTCATGAAAACCTTACATCAATTTATTCAGCTATTGCTACATTTTACTGCACCATTTACACTACACTTGTTTCCAATTTAGAATAGCAATATCTATTGCTCCATAGTGCTTTATAGCACATTCTGAACAACTTACAAATGTCAGCACTTTGGCCCCAACAATCTTGGTCCTCATTTTACCAACCTCAGAAGGATGGAAGGCTGAGTCAACCATGAGCCGGTCAGGATCGAACTCCTGGCAGTATGAGCAGAATTAGCCTGCAATGCTGCATTCTAACCACTGCACCACCATGGCTCTTAATGGAAGAATAACCCATTCGTTCAGAGCAGACCATCTTGTCCAACATCGATGGCTAACTATCTAACCAAGTGACGCATCTGATTTCTGAAAAAAAACTAAAAAATCCTTTCAGGATCAGGAAGCTTGTATTGTGACTGGCTAGAGAAGGAGCTTCTTACTTTTAAATCTGAGATAGCAGCTGTTGCAGAAGAGTTCGCTGTTTCGGATACGGACTTCTGCTCCGGCTTGTGATCCGCCAAGATCCCCCTCACAAGCAACACACTGTGCAGAGAAATCGGACAATTAGACCCAATCAAAGTGGGAATCGGAAGGTGAGTTCTCAGCCAGGGATTTTGAAAGCAAGAGGAACAGGGTGGTTAATATCCTGCTATGCAAAGAGATGTGGAGCAGCGGAATAAAACAAGACTAAAAAGCTGCATGGTCTACACAGAAATGGAGATCCGTAGAGAGTCACGTCTTGCTTTCTGAAACAGAATTGAACGTATGGCACATGGAGAAAGCAACGATTTTGGCACCAAGCTGTTTCTTTTGAATACTCCCATGCAGATTCTTCGTGTTTCAGTTCAGCTAGCCTTCCTGAATGACTTCCTGCTGCACTTTACTTAGAATCATAAATATGCCTGTTTCAAATGCATCAAGGAACAGTGAGAACTGCCTAACGGTGAGAACAATTAACCAGTGGAACGGCTTGTCTCCAGAAGTTGTGGGTGCTCCATCAATGGAGGCTTTTAAGAAGAGATTGGACAGCCAGTTGTCTGGAATGGTATAGGGTCTCCTGCTGAAGCAGGGGGTGGACTAGAAGACCTCCAAGGTCCCTTCCAACTCTGTTATTCTATGTTCTAGATCAGGGGTAGGTAACCTTGGCTCTTTTATGACTCGTGGACTTCAACTTCCAGAATTCCTGAGCCAGCATTGCTGAGGGGAAAGGGAGAGGTTTCCAAGCTAAGCCATGCTGGCTCAGGAATTCTGGGAGTTGAAGTCCACGGGTCATAAAAAAGCCAAGGCTGCCTACCCCTGTTCTAGATGAAAACTGTGTCCAAATGTCCCTGGCATTGGGTCGGTGTGAACACAATGTGATTCATTTGCTAAAAATGTTATTCTATAACACTAGAATAGGATTGCATTTAATATACAGGGAGTCCTCAATTTATGATAGCGGTCATAAAGCGACTGCCACGGTTGCTAATCTGGAATGAATGGGGTTTTTTGGGGGGGCATAAACCAGAAATAGATGCCTTTTTCTGACTAAAAATGTTAATCACAGTCACGTGACTGTGGAACACTGCAAACAGCTCTAAATGTAGGCTGGTTGCTGAATGCACAAAATGTGATTGTGTAACCATTAGAACTTTGAATCTGGGTCATAAGTGGCCCTGGGGTCTTCCATAGTCACGTCAGTCACTAAACGACCAATTGTAAGTGTCTACTACCTGTAGACATTTAATTGCTTTAAAACAGGGGTGTCAAACTCAAATTTCATTGAGGGCCGCATCAGCATTGCGGTTGCCCTCAGGGGGCCAGGTGGGTGTGGCCAGGGTGGGTGCAGCCTACTGGGTAGGCATGAATGGAGTGGGTGTGGCCTACTTGGTGGGTGTGGCCAGCTCTACATCGTTGGTGTTAAGGGTGCCTGTGGGGGCCTGGGCAGGAGTGGGATAGATCTGACGGTCTCTGGCAGAAGGGGGTGGGACCAGGGCAAGTGCCAAGGCATGGTCCACTGGAGGAGCCTCACTGTTCCTCTCAGGCTATGCGGGGGGGGGGGGGCTTGTGGAGCTAAGACTGAATGCGTTTCAGCATACATGGCCACCACAAAATTGTTCATTGGCTCCCAGCTGGCCTGAGCCAGGGCCAAAGCAGAGGGGGCTGTTCCCTCACTGTTTCCAGGATGGCTTCACGAGCCACATGAAACCACTTTGTGGGCCGCATCCGGCCCCCGGGCCTTGTGTTTGACATGTCTGCTTTAAAACATCTTGTAAGGACCATTTTGGATAGCGTGCAGTACATACTTTCTTGTTTTTCTTTGAAGACATTTTGCTTCTCATCCAAGAAGCTTCTTCAGCTCTGACTGGAGGGTGGGGAATGGGAAGATTTGAAAGAAGGGTCAAAGAGGCCACCTATATCAAAATTGAACAGCCCTCTCTCAACAGAGGGGGAGGGATACAACATCATCTGTCTCTTGTCTACAACACAGTCCTTTCAGCAGTTCCAAGAAGGCTTCACACCCATTTGCACCACAGGTGACCCTGATAAGACTCCAGGTGGCCTCAACGACTCTGTAAAAGAAGGCAAATGACCAGCTATCTGCAAGGAGTAGAAATCCTTCCATTCCCCACATCCACTCAGAGCTGAAGAAGCTTCTTGGATGAGAAGCGAAACGTCTTTAAAGAAAAACAAAGAAAGTCCAGTTGCCTCCTGAAAAAGCACCTTTGAGACAACCATTAGCAATTTAGTACTTTTGATATGCATTTATATCTAGGCACAGAGGAAGACATAAAATCTGGGCCAAAGTTACTTTTATGCAGTGGCTGTGATGGTACTTTTCCTGCTGTGATGGCAATGTGTGCAAGGAAGTGGATACAGAAGGAAGCCCGAGACACCAGGGTTTAAACCCAGATGGCCTGTTCCGCTTTATCTTAATGTGTTCTACATCAGAGGAGCTTCATTCTCATTTGTTCCCCCCCCCAAAAAAAAATCACTAAATCAAGGAGTCAAGGAGCAACAGTCGATGGTGGAAGGTTTCCCCTTAGCAGACGGATCTGGTTGCATTAGGTCTTGCACACGCTACATAAGGGAGGCTAGCAAAGCCAGGATGGGGGGGTATCGGCCGCCATGCCTCTCACCGGTTCCCCCTCTCACCTTAAAACAATGTAAGTGATAGCAAAGGCCAAGAGATTCGATGATCATAGCCGCTCCTTTGCCCAGAGCGTTTCTGCAGCTGGAACACATTCGCTTTCCACTCACCGACCTAAATATAGAACAAGAACGTGGTTGAGAAGCAGATGGCAGGAGACCAGCAACCCAACAAGGACGAGGCATGGTCTCAGGAGGAGCAATGAATCAAAACCCCAGGACTGACTGCAGGGAGAAAAGCAGAAATGAATCACCAGAAAGAGTTACCTTCTTCTCCAAATGAAACACAGCTATTACGCAACTCAGGAGTTAGCATAAATCACTGAACCCTCGGCTAAATTTAGGAAAACAGCCCCATACAGTTGAGGGCCCCAACTCATTCCTTATGGGTGGAGGACAGTTCTCAAACCGCAGCATCTGTTTCTTCTTTAGGCAACGTGATGCCCAAGAGAAACGCCTTTGAAGTAAGTCAGGCGATATTAAAGGTGGCGAGCGAGACTGAAGACCCACCCTAGCCAGCCTCTTCCCAGTTGCCAATGCTGGTAACACAGAGATGTTTCTGGGCTGGGGGAGTCTTCCCCCTCCCTTTTGGCTTTCAACTAGCCTCACTTTCCTGGAAGAAGCCCAGGGCTCTCGGTTTTAAAGAAGGCCACCAAAGTACAGGTAGTCCTTAAGTTACAACAGTTTAGTTCAAAGTTACAACAGCATTGAAAAAAGTAACTTTCGACCATTTTTCACACTTAAAGCTGTGGCAGCATCCCTGTTGTCATGTGATCAAAATTCAGAGGCTTGGCAACTGACTTACATTTATGATGTTCGCAATGTCCCTGGGTCATGGGATCCCCTTTTGCGAACTTCTGACTGGCCAAGTCAATGGGGAAGCCATTTAACAACCATTTTACGAACTTAACAACTGTGGTAAAAAGAAGTCGTAAAATGGGACAAAACTCACTTAACAAATTTCTCACTTAGCAACATAAATTCTGGACTCAGTTGTGGTCATAGGTTAAAGACTACCTGTATACTGCTGGGGATGACGATTATCTAGTCTTTGGACACTGAGTGTGTGCACATTTTCTATGGATTTGGTTTCCAATTACACACCTGGAAACCTTTAAAAAGTCAATTATCAAACATAAAATTACATGGAATCTAGCACTTTCATTAGGACATCTTGACTTTTCCAGCCATTTGGACAATATTTCTAAATGAAACAATGCGCCTTGTTGTGAAGTGTGTTTGTTTATTGATGAAATTTATATGACTGATGTTCAGTGACGGCTGAAACTCCAGAGTCTGCTTTACAGCAGCCTTTGTCAAAACTCACTTCACAAATGCCTCACTTAGCAATTTCACGTTTGGGCTCAGTTGTGGTCAAGGATTTACAACAGCCACAAAAAGAATAAGCAAGTAGCTTTGAGCACACTCGTAAATTCTTATTTTACAGAAAAATCGAGGGATTAAAAAAATAAAAGGGTTCAGCCACTTTGGAAAAAGGAACAGCAAAAGAGATGCAAAGGTGTTCTGTTGGCGTTCACTATTTGTATTCAGTCACCATAACTACATACAGGCTGAAAAATGGTGACCTGTTCTCCTGTTCACAGCAGCAGAGTGACTAAAGCAGAGGAAAGCAGCCAATTGTTTCAAATGGAGGGACAGTATGGATAAATCTCCCTAAAAATCGATGAATCAGCCAACTATGGCAGTATCAAGCATCAGAATCATGGTAATTTCAAGAGGATGGATGACCTGTTGTAGAGAAAGGCATACAAGTAGTCCTTGACTTACAACCATTCACTTAGTGACTGAAGTTACAACGGCACTTAAAAAAGCAACTAATGATCCTTTTTCACACTTACAGCCACTGAAGCATCTCATTGGTTACAGCAGGGGTGTCAAACTCAATTTCACTGAGGGCCACATCAGCATTGTGATTGCCCTGGGGAGGCCAGGTGGGTGTGGCCAGAGTGGGTGCAGCCTAATGGGTGGGCATGGATGGAATGGGTGCGGCCTACTGGGTGGGCATGGCCAGTTCTACATCATTTGCGTCAAGGGTACCTATGGGGGACCTGGGCAGGAGTGGGACAGATCTGAGGGTCTCTGGCAGAAGGGGGTGGGACCGGGGCAAGTGCCAAGACATGGTCCACTGGGGCAAGTGCCAAGATGGCCACCACAAAATTGTACATTGGCTCCCGGCTACCCTGGGCCAGGGCCAAGGCAGAGGGGGCCGTTCCCTCACTGTTTTCAGGATGGCTTCTCAGGCCGCATCCGGCCCCCAGGCCTTGTGTTTGACTGTCTGGGTTACAGGATCAACATTGTCATTTGGCAACTCTCCTATTTATGACGGTTGCAGTGTGTCCTGGGGTCCTGCGTTCAATTTTTGCTGCCTTCTGACCAGCAAACTCAGCGGGGAAGCCAGATTCTCTTAACAACGGTGTCACCAATTTATCAATTGCAGTGTTTCACTTAACACCGAAGAAAGGTCATAAAATGCGGCAAAACTCACTTAACTCTCACACTGAGCAAGAGGAGTTTGGGGCTCAATTTTGGTCGTAAGGCGAGGACTACCTGTATACATTTTTGGTAGTATAACACACCCAATAACATTGTGAGGAACTCACAGCCGATCTCGGGGGTTGCCAGGTTGTTTCTCTCCCCCCCACAGCCAAAAAGACGAGGGAGTAACAAAAAAGGATTCAGTAGATGCTTCTGATACCTGTTGCGCTGTTGCGTCCCAGACTGAGAAGAAGAGGTTGGCGAAGGAGCTTGAGGAACAGTTGGTGATGGGGGGATGTGGGGCAAGGAGGACGTTTTCATAGATGCAGAGGAAGGGGAGGGCAGGCTGGAAGACGGGGTGCGCATGTAGGCCCGATTGGAGGTGGACACCACGGGAGCAACATGCTGGCCTAACTCTTGGCTGCTTGATAAAGATGTAGAAGATGCAGATTGGTTCACCCAGGAATGAGGTCTCCAGGAGTTTGTCCTTGAAGAGTCAAGATTATCTAAGCTCTCACCTCTGGAAGAAAAACGTATAGTGGCTGTAGTGGATCATTCTACACAAAACATACGGCTATAACTGGAGAATAATTGTGGCGAGGTTTCAACAAAGGTGATGAAGTCGCTTATGCTAACATAATGGCAAGGTGCAGAAAAATCACAGTTTGACACAGGAGAAGATGCTGAATTCCACACACTGATCTAAGGGCTGACCCTTGAACATCTTGAACTGCACGCACAATGAAACCCAAAGAAGCCCCGGATGTAACTGAGAAGGCACTTGCAAAGGCAGCTTATGAGAGGGGAAAATGTTATTGAAAAGGGGAAAATTTCATCTCCGAGAAGGAAGAGAGAAGTTGGATCTCTTCTTCCCCAAAAGGCAACCGGACTTTCTTGGTTTTATCCTTGAAAAGGTTTCGCTCCTCATCCAAGAAGCTTCTTCGGTTCTGACTGAACGGTGTGGAATGGAAGGATTTATATCCTTTGCAAGTCATCTGGTCATTAGCACTGGGTCAGGGGTAGGCAACCTTGGCTCTTTTATGACTCGTGGACTTCAACTCCCAGAATTCCTGAACCAGCCATGCTGAGGGGAAAGGGAGAGATTTCCAAGCTGAGCCATGCTGGCTCAGGAATTCTGGGAGTTGAAGTCCACGAGTCATAAAAGAGCCAAGTTGCCTACCCCTGCACTAGGTGGATCCGACACTACGTGTCTCCTGCTTACAAGACAGTCCTTGCAGCAGTCCCAAGAAGGTTTCACCCCTATTTGCACTCTGATTGGGTGACTCTGAACAAGTAGCCTCAACGACTCTCAGAGGGCTAATGACTAGATGAATATACAGTAGTATATACAGCAGTGGCCAAAATTGTGGAAATCTTTTGGGAAAAGTGTATTTTTGAGGTTTGATAGATTTTATTTTTCTGGGCTCAAAGATCACCTCAGATGGGGACTGCAGCCAAGAAATTAAAAGACGCTTGCTCCTGGGGAGGAAAGCTATGGTAAATCTAGACAGCATACTAAAAAGCAGAGACATCACCCTGCCAACAAAAGTGCGTATAGTCCAGGCCATGGTTTTCCCAGTTGCAATGTATGGCTGTGAAAGTTGGACCATAAGAAAGGCTGAGCGCCAAAGAATTGAGGCCTTTGAACTATGGTGCTGGAGAAGACTCCTGCGAGTCCCTTGGACTGCAAGGCGTTCAAACCGGTCAGTCCTAGAAGAGATCAACCCCGACTGCTCTTTAGAAGGCCAGATCCTGAAGTTGAAACTCAAATACTTTGGCCACCTAATGAGAAGGAAAGACTCACTGGAGAAGGGCCTAATGCTGGGAAAGATTGAGGGCAATAGAAGAAGTGGACGACAGAGAATGAAGTGGCTGGATGGAGTCACTGAAGCAGTAGGTGTGAACTTAAATGGACTCCAGAAGATGGTAGAGGACAGGAAGACCTGGAGGAACGTTGTCCATGGGGTCGCGATGGGTCGGACACGACTTCGCAATTAACAACAACAACAAGCTAATAACACTACTTTTGGGGGGGGGGAAATAGTACCATAAAATTACATATCAATGGAAAGATAATTTAATCAGGAATGTAATGCAACAAAGTTTGTTCAATTATCTGTACTGTATTCTATGAAACGTTATAGCCAAATAACCAGAAAAAGGAAGCCCAACTTGCTTAGGTTGATATCAAGTAGCTTGCCTTCATCTGATTGTAGCCAATGAGCGTGAGTGTTTAGAGAGCCAATCAGGTGTCATCGTGTTTTGGCAATGAGCCAATCAGATCACAGTAGGATTCAGTGATTGATGTCCTGTATTGAAGCTGAGAGGAGGTCATTGGTCAGTTTGTTATATGATCGCTATCAAGTTGGTTTGGGTCTTTTTGTGCTCTTTCTAGTGAGCTTGTAAAATGTAATAAAATTAAAGTAATGGTGCAAAGAGTTGACTGGTCGCCCAGAAAGGGATGTAAAATAGTATTCTTAAGCGAACAAGGCTACAGTTATAAAGAAATTAGAAGAAAAATGGGTGGAAACTTAACCAAAGGTGGCATTTCCACCGTACACTTTTCCCAAAAGGTTTCCACAATTTTGGCCATTACTATAAATCCTTCCCTTTCCCACCATTCAGTCAGGACTGAAGAAGCTTCTTGGATGAGAAGCAAAATCTTTTCAAGGATAAAACCAAGAAAGTCCAGTTGCCCTTTTGGTGTGGGGGGGGGAAACAAACTTGGGACAACCATGACCTGGATCACTGAGAATCTCCAGAGACTCCAGAGAATCTCCATGGGTCAAAGGGGGAGATCAGAACTGGGGGTGCTCAGTCACGGTAGGGCTGTTCCTGGTGGCTCCATTACCTCCTCATTCTATTGCCGGCCAGACTGAAGGGCTCTTTGTGCATGCTGGAGCTGCGCTGCCGGATCCAGCTGCTGTCTGTGTGCAGAGAGGTCTTTTTTCTCATTTCCTGAAGAATCTGCTGCCTTTCCAGCTCGGCGGATGACAAGCCCTGTTCCTTCTGAGATCTTTTCAGGGAGTTGGTGGCATTCCAGGATTGCTCAGAGAACTTCTTCTTCAGCCCTAATTTGATTTTTTTTAAAAATTTCATTCGGAAGAGCAAAATACAAATTCAAAATACAATTTTTTTTTTAAAAAAAAAAATCAACAACACAAAACCATTTGTTCATCATTGCTTCCTACCTACCTACCTACCTACCTACCTACCTACCTACCTAATCAAGGAGAAAAGCAACCTGGAAGTAAGGAGAAACTTCCTAACAATGAGGACAATTAACCAGTTGAAGAGAAGTTGTGGGTACTCCATCACTGGAGGTTTTTAAGAAAAGACTGGACAGCCACTTGTCTGAAATGGTATAGGATGTCATGCTTGAGCAGGGGGTTGGACTAGATGACCTCCAAGGTCCATTCCAGCTCTATTCTGATTCTACATATTATGTCCCCAGTTGAACACTGACAAATCTATTACAACAAGAATAGCTCCCCCGCCCCCTTGCAAAGCTGGTCCAAAATTTATAAGCTTCTATGATTATTTGCAATTTGGTTGACCTGCCATACATTACATATATGAAAGAAAAAAAATAGCTAACAGGTTACCCAACAGTGAAGTTAAAGTTCAAAGCACTCTGTTAACAGTCTGTTACTCATAGAAAATCTACACAGTTTCATATTCACCACAAATCACTCCAATCGTTATGGTCTGTCCAGGATCACCTTTGTGCAGTTCTTAATAATTTGGTATTAAGAACAAAACAAGACCTCATCTGAAACAAGGGATATATACTTTTATGCTAAATAGAGTGAAGACTACAGAAAACCCTAAGGCCTCATTTATTATTAAGAATACATTAGTCATGACCCCTTGGAGTTATATTTTATTTACAGATTCACTTTTCCTGGCTCTCTGCCTGTTTTTTTCCCCTTTCCAGGAGAAGAACTTACCACTGGGCTGAGGATTGTCTAAATCAGTGGTTGATCTGGATTTATTTCTGGGGGAAAAAATGAGAAATTATATTATAGACATTCTTCACAGAATGACGTATCACTTGCAACATACATAACCATCTCTGGACGCACAAAGCATGTTATAACAACTTTGATGGATGATTTAATGATTATTTGTAAAGGGGCTAAAAAAGCCCCTGAAAAATAGGAAGTAATAACTTCACGGCAGAAAATATGACTTCTCATAGGAATTTTCGAGATATAACTTTAGTATTACTCAAGAGCTGCTAAGAATAGAGTTAGCGTGTGGTTTTTCTTTTTTTTTCTGTTCCAAGAATCTCAAGATATTGGTCTGGGCCTTTTACATATAAGCTGCCAACTGTTTTTTCCAATCTATTGCAGATGTTGAGCACATATTTTCCAGGAGGAAAATCTATCCTAAGGCACAAAACCAGAATGGCATTTTCTCTGCTGAACGTCCAGGGCTGGCTTTTATTAAACGGTATATCTGCATCTTTAGTGTCTGCAAACGAAGCACGCAAATCTAATCCCACACTAGGGCAGTGTCAGTAGATATCAGTCTTGAAGAAGTTGCAGATATCCTTCATCCAGTTTCCTGGGTCGCTCCAGCCAGTGATGAGAGAGGTTCAGCCACATCTGGTGGGCAGGAGGTCCCAGTCTAAAGAGCAGAACCTTGGGAGAAATGGCCCAGAGAGATTCCTGACAGCTAGAACAATTAATCAGTGGAACAACTTGCCTCCAGAAGTTGTGAATGCTCCAACACTGGACATTTTTAAGAAGAGACCGGACAACCATTTGTCTGAAATGGTATAGGGTTTCCTGCCTGAGCAGGGGTTGGACTAGAAGACCTCCAAGGTCCCTTCCAGTTCTATTCTATTCTATTCTATTCTATTCTATTCTATTCTATTCTATTCTATTCTATTCTATTCTACTCTACTCTACTCTACTCTACTCTACTCTACTCTACTCTACCCTACCCTACCCTACCCTACCTTACTCTATTCTAGGCAAAGAGAGCCATTTCAGCAGCTTCCAAATCATGGGTGACACCATGTCTGTAAATGCTGATGCTTGTGCTAGATAACACTGATGGAAGCTTAAGTTTAAAGGGTTGAACAACATCTGGTCGTCCTGGTTTGTTCCTGCTCTGGACCAAACCTTGAATTCAACATGCAGGGATATATTTAGGAAATTAGGTAACTAAAAAAAAAAAAAAAAGGAATCAATCAAGAGTGATTCACTTTCCAGAAGTGAAGGACCAGGAAGCAACTTTTCCTTTTAAAATTCCAAACAGCACCATCAGTAAAAACTCATTGATTTTTACCTGTCCACACTGAAGTACTTTCCTTGTTCATTGGAGAGTCTTGGTGATTCATAATGTCTGGAGTAAAGAGACCATAAACAAGAGTTAGCTAGAGTAAAGGCCAAGAGCTTCTGTCCGTCCATCCATCCATCCATCCATCCATCCATCCATCCATCCATCCATCGAGATTGGCTGCCAATCTCAAACAAATGCCTCAGGATGATGAACAATCATAAAATCATAACTGTAGATAACCAGGAGATGGGGCCCTTCACATACCCAGACCCAGGAACATAGGCATTCAAGAATGTCAGGCCATCCTACTCTCCGAAGACAGAATGTTCTAAGGATAGGGGCTATGACAAAAGAAATGCATCTCCTGGTTCCTGCCAGCTGTCTTTCCTTGGCTGACGGGACTCACTCTCTGTGCAATCACCAGAAGACAGATATTGCATAGGCTAGGAGGAGCCCTCATGTTTGATCATCCAGTTAAAAAATGTATATAGTTCTCTGGATCACAAGTTCCGTAATTAGTCTTGGACAAACATCTGAATTAGGAATACAGATCTGTATACTACAATATAATAAATAGTTGACTTGAATTTCTCGTGTCAGTTTTTACTATCAGGTCAAGGCAGCTGCAAGAGCTTGGCAACTAGTGCTTTACTGGCAAGCTACCTTTAGAAGTAAGATTGTTGAGATTATCTAGACCAGTGTTTCTCAACCTTGACAACTTTAAGGTATGTGGACTTCAACTCCCAGAATTCCACAGCCAGCAATGCTGGCTGTGGAATTCTGGGAGCTGAAGTCCACATGCCTTAAAATTGTCAAGGTTGAGAAACACTGATCTAAACCATGGTGTCAAACTCAATCACATCATGTGCCGTATCGTGACGTATCACGACATATTTTGCCTTTGCAGAGCTGGGGTGGGCATGGCCTGCACGTGACGCATCTGGCCCGTGGGCCGCCAGTTTGACCCCCCCCGATCTTAAACATTTGCTGAACATGACTTGGTGTGAAGTTATTGAAAGGCTTTCAAGTGAAATAACAAAGCAGCATCAAAATATATAAGCATCGAAGAACAAAATGCCTCCACAGGAGGACCAAAGATAGCCATGGATGGAAGCCTATGAAGAAAAATGGCCCACAGCAACCAAGCAACCAATGTCTCATCACTCTATGGTTTTAGGGGCATTGAGGATTCAGTCAACTTCTTAAGGAGTCTGAGGAAGGAACACACTTTCTGGATGCAGGGACTCTGAAAAGTCCTTTCTTCAGTTTTACTAAGCCGAGAAGGCAGTAAGGAACACTCACACCGCACACTTGGACAAAACCTTCATCCATAAATACTGGGAACTAGGGGAAAAATCACATCTATTTATTGCCTGGGAGCTAAGATAGCAGGTCCAGTCTGGGCAGCAGCCCATAAAATACTATGGCTTTATGTGACATGCATTAATAATCCAGCTTTTACAGAATTTCCACAAATTCTTCCCTAAATCTTAAATTTAAGATTATAGCATAGAGCAGGGATCCCCAACCTTAGCCACTTTAAGACTTGTGGACTTCAACTCCCAGAATTCCTGAGCCAGCCATGCTGGCTGGGGAATTCTGGGAGTTGAAGTCCACAGGTCTTAAAGTAGCCAAGGTTGGGGACCCCCGCCATAGAATAATGCAGACCTTTGATACTGAAATCTTTGCACTGACACCTCCTTGACTGGTTCCACCAGCGGCTTTTGAAATGCTTCTTCACGATATCTTGGTTCTTCGATTGGTTCCATCAGAAGGTCCTTAGATGTTTCTTCCTGATACCTTGGTTCCTTGATAGGTTCCATCAGAAAGTCTCGAGATGCTTCTTCTCGATACCTTGGTTCCTTCACAGGTTCCATCAGAAAGTCTCGAGATACTTCTTTTCGATACCTTGGTTCCTTCACAGGTTCCATCAGAAAGTCTCGAGATGCTTCTTCCTGATAACTTGGTTCCTTGATAGGTTCTATCAGCAGGTCCTGAGATGCTTCTTCCCAATACCTTGGTTCCTTGATAGGTTCCACTAACAGCTTTTGAGATGCTTCTTCCTGATACCTTGGCTCCTTGATTGGTTCCATCAGCAGGTCCTTAGATGCTTCTTCCCGATACCTTGGTTCCTTGATCGGTTCCATCAGCAGGTCCTTAGATGTTTCTTCCCGATACCTTGGTTCCTTGATCGGTTCCATCAGCAGGTCCTTAGATGTTTCTTCCCGATACCTTGGTTCCTTGATCGGTTCCATCAGCAGGTCCTTAGATGTTTCCCCCCGATACCTTGGTTCCTTGATAGGTTCCATCAGCAGCTCACAAGATGCTTCTTCCCGATACCTTGGTTCCTTGATAGGTTCCATCAGCAGGTTTGGAGATGGTTCTTCCTGGTATCTTAATTCCTTGGTTATTTCCACATGAGTTTTGTGAGATTTTTCTTCCCAAAATCTTGGTTCCTTGAGTGGTTCCAGCAGTAACTTTTGAGATGTGTCTTCCTGATACCCTGGTTCTTTGATAGGTTCAAAGAGTAGATTCTGAGATGTTTCACCACCATATTTTGGTTCATTAATTGGCTCCATCAGAAGATTTTGAGATGTTTCTTCCCAATGCCTTGGTTCCTTGACAACTTCTACCTGGGATTTTTGAGGTACTTCTTCTGGATAACTTGGTTCCTTTGCATAGTATACGGTGTCCTGTCCATTCCATCCCTTCCCATTTTCTATTCCTTGTAACTTTCTCTTTTGCTCCACCTGTAAAACTCCTTGTTGTTGTAAGCTGCTTCTCGCTAGCTCACTATCTTTCCCCTGGTACTCCGGCCTGCTTTCCTCTTCCCAATTTCTTTCAGAACTATGACAATCAGTCTTGTTACTTCCATTTCTTTCCCACAAAAAAGTTGGGACCTCCTGTACACTCCCGGTTAGAGCAGGGCACGTCAGGTTAGTCTGTTCCTAAAAAAGAATACAAGTTTTAAAGAAGTTAAATACAGAAGAGAAAGTTGGGTACGTTTTGCTCTGAATTGAGGTACACATAATGGGTCTTTCATTGGAAAGATAGTCCAGCTGGTTAACAGAGATTTGGATCAATGGGTTTAAAAAAAAATCAAGCAAAAGGTATTCCACCTGTCTTTGGAACTGACTTTATGTCACTTCAGATCATCCAAATCTCTAGCTGATTGTCTACATCAACAAGAAATTCTGTTCCTGTGCAGAGGATTTTCCACAATACTGGTAGTCCTCCACTCACAGCCTTTGTTTAGTGATCGTCCGAAGTTACAATGGCACTGAAAAAAAGTGAGTTAGGGCCATTTTTCACACTAGCATCCCCATGGTCATGTGACTAAAATTGAGACACTTGACAATGTGAAGTTCTAGTACCACATTATAAAAAAAGATGTTGAGACTCTGGAAAGAGTACAGAGTATAGCAGCTAAGATGGTGAAGGGACTGGAGGCTAAAACATAGGAAGAGAGATTGCAGGAATTGGGCAGGTCTACTCTAGGGGAAAAAAGGTCTAGGGGTGACATGATAGCAGTGTTCCAATATCTGAGGGGTTGCCACAAAGAAGAGGGGATCAACTTATTTTTCCATAGCACCAGAAGGCAAGACAAGACACAATGGATGGAAACTAATCAAGGAGAGAAGCAATCTAGAACTAAGGAGAAACATCCTGACAGTTAGAACAATTAATCAGTGGAACAACCTGCCTCCAGAAGTTGTGGGACCGGATAGCCACTTGTCTGAAATCAGACAGGTAGCCCTCAACTTACAACAGTTCACTTAGTGACCGTTCTTACAACAACACTGAAAAAAGTCAACTATGACCATTTTTCACACTTACGACCATTGCAGCATCCTCATGATCATGTGATTTACATTCAGATGCTTGACTACTGACTCGCGTTTAATGACAGTTCCAGTGTCCCAGGGTCATGTGATCACCCTCTGTGACCTTCTGACAAACAAAAGTCAATGGGGAAAACCAGATTCACTTAACAACGGTGTTACTAACTGAACAGCTGCAGTTATTCACTTAACACAGTGGCAAGAAAGATTGTAACATGAGGCAAAACCCACTTAACAACTGTCTCACTCAGCAACAGTAATATTGGGCTGTGATGTGATCGTAAGTGGAGAATTACCTGTACCCAAAATAGATGATGATGATGATTATGGATCATCGCACAGTCAGCCAGATGTTCAGACTGGATTTGGCATTTTGTCTACCTATCGAGTCCTTACCCAGGACCTGGGATAGGCAGATGTGGATGTTGGATGGTATTACAGGTATCGTCGCAGGATGGAAGCAGTTCCTAGTAAGGCCGCCTTTTGCAATTGACTAATGGCAAATTTGTCAATGCCAATGGTGTTCAAGTGGTGCTCCAGTTGTTTTGGAATTGCACCCAAGGCGCCTATGACTATTGGTACTACCCTTGCTTGCTTTATTATTATTATTATTATTATTTCATCGCACAGTCAGCCAGATGTTCAGACTGGATTTGGCATTTTGTCTACCTATCGAGTCCTTACCCAGGACCTGGGATAGGCAGATGTGGATGTTTGATGGTATTACAGGTATCGTCGCAGGATGGAAGCAGTTCCTAATAAGGCCGCCTTTTGCAATTGACTAATAGCAAATTTGTCAATGCCAATGATTATTATTATTATTATTATTATTATTATTATTATTATTATTATTATTATTATTTTCTTTCTGAATACAAATATCAGGGACTGAACCTAGTAATCTTATGCAAAAGTGCACACTATGGGACCAAATGCATCTTATAGCTGGATTAAATTAATATTATTTTAGGCTAGCTGGTTGAACCCAGAAAGAACCAAAGAATCCTGTATTTTTCAAAGATGAATTTGCATCTTTTGAAATGAATAAAGTTGTGCATCCAAAACAAACCAATCAACCAACCAGTATTTTCTTTAGATGGGTCTTTCTGGGGTTCTGTCTTTTTGCCAACTAATTTTAACTGCATTTTTAATCTGTAACATCTGGTGTGTAACTACACACCAAATTCAGTCAAGTATCTCAGAGGGTCCCTTCCATTGTTTTCTCTAGCATCCTTGTTTTGGAGTTTATTTGTAACACATGCCTGTGAAGATCATAGACCATAACAGAATAATGCAATAAAAGAGTTGGGAGGGACCCTGGAGGTTTTCTAGTCCAACCCCCTGCTCAAGCAGGACAACCTATACCTGTATCAGACAAATGGTTGAACAACTTGGCCCCCTCTGCCTTGTGGCAGCCCCTTAGATACTGGAACACTGCTATCATGTCTCCCCTATTTCTTCTTTACTTTAGACTAGCCAAACCCAAGTCCCATAGCCATTGACCCTATACCATTCCAGACAAATGGCTGCCCAATCTCTTCTTAAAAACCTCCAGTGTTGGAAAACCCACAACTTCTGGTGGCAGGTCGTTCCACTCTTTGATTGTTCTCACTGTCAAGAAATTCCTCCTTGGTTCTAGGTTGGTTCTCTCCTTAATTAGTTTCCCTCCAGTGCTTCTTGTCCTGCCTTCAGGTACTTTGGAGAATAGCTTGACCTCCTCCTCTTCTTTGTGGCAGCTCCTTACATATTGGAACACTGCTCTCAGTGTTAGAACAGAAGTTCTCCTAATTTTAATTTTCAACTCTACCGGTGCCTGAGAACAATTTGGCAGACTTTGGCAGCTCATTCATAATTTTTATTGGCAGCTAAGGAAAGACAAAGAGTTTTCTGCTGGGTTTGTGCTAACTGCCCAGTTCTCTTGGCTACCAAAACACTTTGCTTTTTTTTTCCTTTGCGGTTTATGCTTTGTCTACATTCAGCTTTTCCTCAACAAAGGAACAAGGCAGGTCTGTGCTTCTGCCTTCCAGGTGTATTGCTTTAGAAATGGCCTAGACAAGCTCACCAGCAATGTTTGCCTTTCTGCAAGAGAGGTCAAACTGCAAACCGGCTGAGCACTGACCTCCTTTAAGTAACTGGAGATGTCTTTTTCTGCCTCCCGCTGGGCTTTCAGCCATTCTTCCTTAAGCCTCTCTTGCTCACGCTTGTACTGCTCCTGATGGGAAGAAGCAAATCAAGGCAAAATCTTACAAATGCAAAGAGAAACAAACTCCAGGAAACAGGATGTTTTCCTGCCGACTCACCCACCAAGCCATTCCTTTTTTGTAAGCAACACCATGCAAAGGATTGGACTAAGGAATAGACAGACGCAAAGACAAGGAAATTAAACACATTGAGATGAGATAGAAGTCTCTGTTGCCAGCCATTTTGGCCTCACTGGCTCTTGCTCCACCGTGGTGGTGCAGTGATTAGAATGCAGTATTGCAGGCTAGCACTCCGCTCACTGCCAGGAGTTCGATCCTGACCGGCTCAAGGTTGACTCAGCCTTCCATCCTTCCGAGGTCAGTTAAATGACCCAGATTGTGGGGGGCAATATGCAGACTCTGTAAACTTAAAGAGGGCTATAAAGCACAATGAAGTGGTATATAAATCAAAGTGCTATTGGTATTGCCGCACTCCCTTTCTCAAAGGAAATGACAGTGGCCTTTTTCCACGCACACTAAACAAGTTGTACAATCACCCCAGAAACAAACCGCGTCCATGTTGCAACATTTTCCCAGGTACACACCCAGCCTCATCGTTGTGGGCCATTTTTCTTTCATTATCATTTTTATATGGTCCCTCCCACCTTAATATATATATTTTCTTATTGGGAGTTTTCTCTTCCATTTTATCATCCTGCCAAGTATCCAACACTAGCTTTACTACTATTTCCCCCCACAACTTTTTAGCTTTCCCACAAATGCTTTTTCCAAAAGACAACTGGACTTTCTTGGTTTTCTTCCTTTGAAAATGTTTTGCTTCTCATCCAAGAAGCTTCTTAAATTCTGAAGAATGGAAGAAGCTTCTGGGATAAGAAACAAAATATTTTCAAGAAAAAACAAACAGACAAACATGAAAATTCAGTTGCCTTTTAGAAAAGCACCTTTGGGACAACCATAATTTGGATGATTGAGAATCTCCATAGACATTTAGCAACTTGTAAGACAGTGATGGTGAACCTTTTAGAGACCGAGTGCCCAAACTGCAACCCAAAACCCACTTACGCATCGTCGGGTGCCGGGTGGGCATGGCCCATTGGGTGGGTGTGGCCCATTGGGTGGGCGTGGTTGCGGTGGTAATGGCAGACTGGGTGGGACCAAATAGTTCAATCAATCAATTCCAATTTTTCAAGATCTTTTTTTTCCCACAAGAAGTTGAAATTGACTGATTGATTGAACCTTTTTTTTTTTTTTTTTTGCACACGGCGGTGGAGGCCTAAAGCGAAAAGGTTTTATAAAACCCAGCTGAAGGCCTAGGACTGGGGCGACGGCGCGCGTGCCCACAGAGAGGGCTCTGAGTGCCAGCTCTGGCACCCGTGCCATAGGTTCACCACTACTGTTGTAAGACCTGGAATATGTAGTAAAAATGCTATGGGAAGCCTGTTTTGCCCTTGAACTCCTCCCTCCGAGGGGGTCCTCGGTGCTTCCTGAGTTTGGTTGTTTTCTTGCAGACATTTCATTACCCAAACTAAGTAACACCATCAGTGCATTATCTAGTTTGGGTAATGAAATGTGTGCAAGAAAACAACCAAGCTTGGAGAGCACCAAGGAGCCCTCATTTCAATCTTGAGCTACAAATATTCTCCTTTATTGACTCTTCTCTCTAGACCAGGGGTAAGCAACCTTGGCTCTTTTATGACTCGTGGACTTCAACTCCCAGAATTCCTCAGCCAGCCATGCTGAGAGGAAAGGGAGAGGTTTCCAAGCTGAGCCATGCTGACTCAGGAATTCTGGGATGAGTGAAGAAGTGCCAAGCTGAAAAGCCAAGTCATAAAGAGCCAAGTTGCCTACCTGGCCTAGGCCTAGGCCGCTTTATGACTCGTGGACTTCAACTCCCAGAATTCCTGAGCCAGCATGGCTCAGCTTGGAAACCTCTGTCTTTCCCCTCAGCATGGCTGGCTCAGGAATTCTGGGAGTTGAAGTCCATGAGTCATAAAAGAGCCAAGGTTGCGTAGCCCTGCTCTAGACAGATCTCCAAGACCTATGAAGGACACTCAGCCACCAAAACATCCTGGCTTTATTTGGGCAAAAATCCTTTGATCGTTACTAAATGTGTAACCAAGTGCACCTGGATAGAATCACCCTGCCAGTAGCCACCTAAAGTAGCATCTTGGGGCAGGTTTTCTATCCTCAAGTGTTTCACCTAGAAGAGATGGCCTGAGGGAGGGTCAGCTTCCAGACATGTTTTAGTCAGGGTGTTCTGCTCCAAGAGCAGAAGCAGTTTTAGCAGGAAGGACAACCGCACAGTTTACATCCAGACCTGGAGTAAGCGCTCCTGCTCTGCTTGCCATTTCTCTTGCCTTTTTCTTTCTTCTTCTTGATCCCAAGTCCAACGGCTGGGAGCCGCAATGGGTGGGACAGGGAGCTGAAACAAGAAACCAAAGGTGAGCAGGCCCAGAGGGTTCTCTGTAGAGGGCTGGGGAAACAGCAGTTTTCCTATCACTTTTTGATAGGAAAAATGGGTGCTGAACCCTTTGCAGGGCAATAAACAACAGAATAACAGAGTTGAAAGGGACCTTGGAATTCTTCTAGTCCAGTGGTTCTCAACCTGTGGGTCGAGACCCCATTTGGGGTTGAACGACCATTTCACGGGGGGTCGCCAAACAACGCAGTCCACCATTTTTTTCCCCTTTTCCTTAGCTGTGCTACTCCCTTTTATTCTATTGGCTTTTGAAAGCCAATAGAATAGTCTCTCTTGAATAGAGTCTAATTCTATTGGCTTTCAAAAGCCAATAGGAATTGTCCAGGCTGTCTCTGCCCCACTGAACCCACCAAAAGTCCCATTCTGCAAACGATGCTGCACCAGTTGAGTAGTCCTCGACTTACGACCGGTTGGGGGGTCGCGGCATTAAAAAGGTTGAGAACCACTGTTCTAATCTAACCCCTTGCTCAAGCAGGAGACCATTTCAGACAAATGTCTTTGTAAAAAGCTCCAGTGATGGAGCACCCATAACTTCTGCAGACAAGTCATTCCACTGATTAACTGTTCTCACGGTCAGACAATTTCTCCTTAGTTCTATGTTGGTTCTCTATTTGATTAGTTTCCATCCGTTGCTTCTTGTCCTGCCTTCTGGTGCTTTGGAGACTGGGTTGACCCCCCTCTTCTTTGTGGCAGCCCCTCAAATCCTGGAACACGGCTATCCTGTCATCCCTAGTCCTTCTTTTCATTAAACTAGACATACCCAATTCCTGCCACTGGTCTTCTAATGTTTTAGCCTTCAGGGAATAACGCTTCCCTTCCAATTCAACCCACCTGGAATCCAGTTTAACTTTTTTGATGGGAATGGAGAGGGGAGGGGAAAACTTTGGAGAACAAATTGTCAAGATGATGGAAGGAACATCTGCCTCTCCCAGGTCCTTGGGAAGGACTTGATAGATGGATACAAATGCCAACTCTAGCCTAACCATCTGGCTGACTAGTTGATAATAATAACATGTAACAGTGATACCCATTGTCATCGGGGCACTGGGAACTATGTCCAAAAACTTTGCAAAATACATCAAGAAACTGCAGCTTCCTGCAATAACTCCAGCAATGTTACAAAAAACTGTGCTACTCGGAACATCTTATATTTTAAGGAGATACCTGGTTGACACCTAGGATGCCGGTAGCAACCTGTGTCAACCATCAGTGCCAGCCAACTTGAATGTTCAGTTGACTGAGATTCATGTCTAATGAATAAAAGATAATGATAATGGAGCATTACTTACATCAAGTATTGCAGGCTCCTGACCTCCTGGGTGATTTATGAAAAAAAGAAGAACAAGAAGAGGGTGGGAAATCTTTGTTACTCTTATCTGGAAGAGATCCTTTCAACCCAAACAAAAAGGCCGCCCTGGAACCACCCCTTTTTTGGATCAAGGACTCATCTAACATGTTCCAACAGGCAAATATTTCTTAAGGTCATATAAAAAAAAGGAAAATTATTATACAGGTACTCCTCGACTTACAACAGTTCACTTAGGGACCATTCAAAGTCACAACGGCACTGAAAAAAAAGTGATGTATGACTGGTTTTCCACACTTAAGACCATGGCATCATCCCCACGGTCACGTGATCAAAATTCAGCTGCTTGGCAACTGACTCATATTTAGGACGGTTGCAGCGTCCCTGGATCGCCTTTTGCAATCTTCTGACAAGCAAAGTCAATGGGAGAGCCAGATTCACTTAACAATCGTTTTACTCATTTAACAACTGCGGTGATTATTTAACAACTGTGACAAGAAAGGTAGTAAAATGGGGCAAAATTTACTTAACAACTCTCTCGCTGACCAGCAGAAGTTGTCGTAAGTTGAGGATTACCTGCATTGGTTTCATACATACACAGTGAATTGCACATTTTTCTAATCAAATCTGCCATACGTAGAAAACAATAAAGTATTGACGGTAACCTCCTTGATTATTATGCCAGTACACCACAGATAAACTATGAGAAGACAGTTCAAGAAGAAGATTTCCAAGAATGTTATGGTAGTATACTGTTTTGTTGGGGAGTTCACATTCCTGTATCATTTCCAACTATCTCTTCTTTGCAAAACTATATCCCAGTCCCCAACCAATCAAAAATGTGTGGTCTTCAAAAACAAACATGTCACACCAACCTTGGTAGGCTGATGGGGACTAATCTAGAATTTTGAGCAATTTGGAAGAAATTGAGCTGAGTATATTTATTTATGAAATCACTGTTGCAATGGCCACATTCATTGAGGCAAAGTTCAAGGCTAACAGATAAGTAGTTTATCCAAAAACATTAATATGAGACAGAAATGGAATTCAGCCCCAGCGTTCCAGCTGACTCTTGTCATATACTTTTCACATCTCATGGAAAAATCCAGCCCTGAAGAGGCACAAACTTCAAGAGCTGTTCATTTTATAATCTATTTTCTTTTATTTTTCCAGAATGGATAGATTGGGACACACACCTGGCCCTCTAGCCCCAGATCCAGGGCCTCCCAAAATTCTTTGTGGTACTGCACTCTATGGTTTTCCTGCACAGACCTGGACTTCCTCTTTGCCCCCTCCTGCAGCGTCAGCCCTCATTTCCCCACTTCCGTTCCCCACTAGCCTGAGTCACCCCCTTGCCTGGCCAAAACTTCCTTCCCATGCCAGACATTTTGAGAAACAGTGTTGGCATCCATCTTTGCTTTTCCACAAGTGCTTCCCAACTGACTGTTAAAATTATATTTGAACTGCAAACAATATGCATTCCTTATGTAAAAACTTGATACTGGGGAAAAGATTGCACAAAGAAGTCAAGTTGCAATTTTCTGTCTGCCTTCCTTCCTTCCTTCCTTCCTTCCTTCCTTCCTTCCTTCCTTCCTTCCTTCCTTCCTTCCTTCCTTCCTTCCATCCTTCCTTCCTTCCTCACTCTCTCTTTCTCTCTCTCTCTCTTCCTTCTTTTCTGTCTATCTGTCTTTCTGTCTTTTGTGATAAAGTTACACGCTGCATTTAGGGAAGTTTGGCCTGCATTGCGCACAAAGCCTTGCCATAAAAGAGCGCCTGAGAGAGATGCTGAGGGCAAGATATGGTTAAGACTAAGACGGGCCTTTCATCCTTTGTATGGAAACATTATTCTGAAGAAACGGAGACAATGGTAAAATAACATTGAGGAAAAAAGACCTTTGGCTAATACATCATACTAACATCAGTGAGAAATATTGTCCTCATCACTTCAAAACATTCCATGTGTAACAAGTAAAACAAGCACAGGTTTCTGAAGTGAAGGTGAAAAAGGTGAGGTGTGGCATGCAAAACACACTCCTAGCAGCTTTTAAGAACTCAGGTATAGGATTCCTGGCCCAAAACACTTCCTTTAGTTTTTGAAGGATTAAAATTGTCCCATGGAGATAGGACATCTATTCCTTAAGCTAGCTATTGCACACGGATGCACCAATTGTAATAATAAACATGACTTTTAACATTGATCATTTCTTTCAGCCTGGTCATTTTACATAACACAGGTTTGCTGAATTCCAGCACATAGGAGAAAAGATTACGAATTGAATGAAAATATGCCGTACTACATTTGGTGCTCACTATGAACAGGATTTGAACTTATCAAGAGTGTCAAAGGTTTGAGGGAAAAGGAACACACAAATCCCATTACCACAAAGATACACCCATGAATTGTAAAGGGAACCTGATGCTCCTAAGGAAAAGAATGGAAAGAGATTACGAAAGTTGGCGTGATAGAACCCAACACCAAGACTGATTAAGAGAAGGCAGGGGAGGCACAATTTCATGAAATTACATGAAATGTTAGCTTTGGGGGGGGGGAATACTGATTGCTTTTACCTTGTTCAAAAAACTGGGATCGCCTTTTTAAGTTTTTCAAAGAAATAGGTTCTGTGTCTATTTGGAAAAAAATACGGAGATACAAACAGGTCAGTGTGGTGTGGTCTGATTTTAGTGAAAATATCCAAGGTATTATTGTTTTCTGTATGGCATTGATACAGTGGCCAGGAAACCACAATGCTATTGCAGAGTAATAGTTTGGCTCGACAAGGTACCAGTCCTGCTTGCGTGCTTCCCAAGGTGCGCCACAGGAGGGCGGGTTGGCTTTGCACCAGAGTGAAAGATGAGCGGGCTCGTCCTGCAGCATCAGCAAAGGCCCTCTTCCTTCCCAGAGCTGCCTCACAAGCAGACACCACAATCGGGAAGGTTCAGAGCCATCTGGAATCTGACTGCCTGCACAGCGCACCAGCTCGTCTCCCCACCAAAGTGGTACCTATCTATCTACTTGCATAGAACGTGCTTTTGAACAGTTAGCTGGACAGAAGCTGAAGCGAGTGACAGGAGCTCACCCCACCATGCAGTGCTAGGGCTCAAACTGCTGGAGCTGAGACTATTTCTAGTATCATTAAGCCACTGAGCCACTGTTCCTCTACATCAGGGGTGTCAAACTGCCAGCCTGCAAGCTGGATGCGTCATCCGGAAGCCGCACCCACCCCATTGCCGGCAATGGCAAAACCGTCACGATACGTTGCATGACGTAACGTGACATTGCAAATTTGACATGTCTGCTCTACATTGACAGGCATTGGCTTGACTGCATTCAAACAAATGGGTCATCGCTTTGGGGGTAGGGGGACCTGATTTTTCAGAGCCTAAATCAAAGCTCTGCTCTTCAGTGACCCAAACCCACTGAAGCATCACCAGATCAAAGCCAAACCAGCAGTTCCTGCAACCGGGTAGGTCCGAGTACCAATTTTGCCCTAGCAAAGTTGCCTGACCCCAATGCTATTCTCAGCCTAAACCACTTGTAAAGGAGACTATTTGAAATGAGGAGTCCTTGGTGCTCTCTGAGCTGGATTGTTTGTTTGCAGATGTTTCATTACCCAAACTGGGTAACATCATCAATAGTAGAGTCACTATTGATGATGTTACCTACTTGGGTAATAAAACATCCGGAAGAAAACGATCAAACTCAGAGAACACCAAGGACTCCTAAACCCCTTGATGTGGTAACTCTACACAGGGTCTTGAGCTCTTTGGAGGACAGGCAGGTCTTCTCAATCAACTTTATTTGATTCAATGGGAAGGAGCTGCTCCAATTTAAAGAGGTTTTCCAGGCCAGCAATAAGCAGAAGAGCTTATTGGTCACTCTTAAAGATCACTCCGGGATGGCTGCAATTTTGCTCCCAAGCTGTACTGTAAGCTTTCTGCTCTCTGACCATCACACACAGTTTTAGCAGACAATGCAGGCTAGTATTAGGTTACAGCTTATGTTTTCCTTCTTTTATTTTCCAGTAAAGGCTAACAATAAAAAAAAATCCCAAATCTTATAAGGCACACAGACAAATATACCTGGCCAGGAGGCAGAGGTTGGATTTTTTTAAGCTTGAAAACCCCTTACCCATTCTTCTGGAAGAGGCTGTTAACCTGCCCAGCAGGTAAAAATGACGTTGGAAGGCAGATGATTCAAAGCAGGTAAAAACCTCTCCTTTTGCTATTGACTTGGTGCATCTCTGCCTCGTTTGTATTTCTAAAACCACTGTGTTTTTATTAGCAGCTAATGATATTTTATTTTATGTACTTTTTATAGATCCGGTCCCTTTCTGTGGCTTAACTAACAGTAAGCTCTCCTACTTCAAGTGCACTGTATAGTTTTACCTTTTTGTTCACAGCAGCTGGCATCATCCTGCATTCCGTTGACTTTTGTTTCAGAACCCTGAAAACAGAAAATTAGCAGAGGATGGCTTTAATTTCTTCCACTTCCAGAAGGTAATACCTGACTTTGAGTCATCTGACAAACCAAACCACCAGCTACCTTGCTTCTCTCCTTGGTTAGTTTCCAACCACTGCTTCTTGTCCTGCCTTCAGGTGCTTTGGAGAATAGCTTGACTCCCTCTTCTTTGTGGCAACCCCTGAGATATTGGAACACTGCTATCATGTCACCCCTCATCCTTCTCCTCATTAGACTAGACATACCCAATTCCTGCAACCTTTCTTCATATGTTTTAGCCTCTAATTCACTAAGAACTCCTTGTCTTCACTCTGGCAGGATTGAACACCCCCTTTATGGACTGTTAATGACTCTTTGACCAAGCACAGACCCACCATCTGATTGGGCTACCCACGTTCTAAAGCTAAAGTCTTGTAGCTTTGCATTAAAAATGCTGTTCTTTGGCCTTGTGATTTATTTATTGGAATTTACAAATAATCTATATTTTATATTATATTAAATAAAATGTTATATATTAAATATTCTTTAATATTTATTAAATTTATAGCTGCCCATCAGGCAGATCAAGGCAACTCTGGGTGGCTTACAACGTAACGAAACGTACAGTACACACCCAAAAACAATTAGAAATGTAAAAACTGATTAAAATTTACAAAAGATTAAGAACACATTTTCCTTGGCAGATTAATCTGACAGCTGCAATTGATTTTGGAGTGGCAGAGCAGAATTTGAAGAAAATTCTCACGATCCCAATTTAAAGCAAATGCTCTTCTCTCTCTCTCTCTCTCTCTCTCTCTCTCTCTCATGTGTTTGTGGTTCTGCATGCATGCATGCCTTTGTGTCACCTTTGTGTGACTCTTTGGTTACAGCTTGGATTAGTCCCTGCAATTTTAGGGACTAGCCCAAGGTCACCCAGCTGGCTTCATGTCTAAAGTAAGACCAGTCTCCCAGTTTTTAGCTCCTTAACCACTACCCCAGAATGGCTCTCAAAATATTGAATATACTCTTTTATCTCCAGATCACTTTAATACCTCTACAGAAGGAGATGAAGACACCTCCCCCCCCCAGGTTTAAGGGCAAAAGAACAGTATTTTCCATCTTGGAATCACCCATGACTAGAAGTTGTGAACACCTTCTTCTGGAGGAAACAGGTCCATAACTTACATCATTCTGCAAATGGCTGTGCAACTCCTTTTTGGACATCTGTTGACTTTGCGTTGAAGCGTGATCTCCTGATGTGGCATCAATCCATTTGTTTTCAGATGTACCTATAATTTTGGTAGCCATACTGGTAAGATTGAGGATTTTGTGCCTTGCAAATGGCGGGAAAGGCTGGTCTTTGCCCCAATCTGATTGATATGTGGAGATCAAAAGAAATTGGAAAGGTGGACAGGGGGAACGTCAAAGTGTAAAGGGAATTGACAAAAATACATCCAAACAACACATAAAGAGGAGAAAAAAAATATAATAGAGGACAGGAGAAGGAAGGAGTGATTTGGGGTGTTAATGTGGAATATCCTATTAGGTGTTTTTATGATAGACCGCCTTTTCCCCAAAGCAAGAATTAGTCAAAAGTATGCACAATAAAAGCATGTTAACTAACAGCAACTATTTTATAGACCACCTTTTGCCCAAAGCAATAATTAGTCAAAAGCTTGCACAATAAATAGCAAGTTTACTAACAGCAACTTTATTTTAAATTAGAAGAATTTCAAAACGTTGGGAAGTAGAGTTGACCTTAGAGTCTTCACACATATTGTTGCCTAATGAATGGGGGCATAGACAAAATCAAAGTACATTGAGATCAACTCTTTCCAAGAACATCCTTACTCCAGGAAATGACTTCCCAATTTCTAGAAAGTAAACTTGCTCAACCAGCTGGTGACAGTGTAATTCATGCAACAATTAGAAAATAATAAATATATTTCTTGCTACAAATGCTTTTTTTTTTTTTTTTTACAAAAGCAGAAATACTAACTGCAGATACTTCAATGGAAACAAACCACCAGCTCCTGCTGAAGGCTGTAAGAATACAGAACTCATCCACCATAATACAACTTAGAGGAAAGAGGAGACAATTCCCACTGCACTCAGTGCAAGTAAACACGCACCCTTCCTTCCATGCCGCCTCACGTCCATAACAAGGCATCCATTTTCCAGGGCCTGGCAAATGGCGGCTTCCCACTCGCCCTGCTCCAAGTGTGAAACACTGGTGCCCCCAAGGGACAGGATTTCATCCCCAACTTTCAACTGACAAAAATCTGCAGGGCTCCCTGTCGAGAGAAAGGCCAATGAAGTCACATACAACCTCCATATATCCAGCATCAGATTGTAGAGCATGTTAGTCCAAGCAACTCTCTCCTAAAGTTTTAAGGAAACCTGCTTTCAAGATTCGGGCTCATTGGTCGTATTGCAACCTCCATATATCCAGCATCAGATTGTAGAGCATGTTAGTCCAAGCAACTCTCTCCTAAAGTTTTAAGGAAACCTGCTTTCAAGATTCGGGCTCATTGGTCGTATTGACTGTATTGGCACCCTTTGGAGCAGGTGTGGGAAAGCGATGGGGGTGAAGTAATGCTCTGAGCTCGTCACAAGGCTTTGCAAAAATGCCCCTTTGGAATGCCGGAGGGTGTCATGAAAGTTTGTGTGACACCAAGGAAGGGATATTTCTCACGAAGAAAAAGTCCTTTTTATTGGGGGGGGGGGAGATCAATGTTGGAATGAGACACTCCAGGATGGAAAGTTAGCTCAGAATTTCTTGCATAGCCCTGAGATCCATAGTAAAAGCTGTTAGGAGTTGAGATGGTCCTGCATTTGAATATTAATATCAAACTGTTTGGGGCTTTAGAAGGAACCAGCCGATCCTAAAAGCAAGTCAACTTTGCATGTCTACAAACTTTGTTTTTTCACATTCTTGCAAGCTGAATTCTTTCCTCCCCTTTCTCCTTTTCCATTTTCTCCCTTCCCTTCCCTTCCCTTCCTCAAGGAAAATGCAAGATTTAAATACTGTTGTTTACCTTCTTCTATTGATTTTACAAAGACACCAGAAGGATTCTGGTACACGGCAAATCCAAAGCTACGACTGCTGCCTGGTTTCTGATTTATACTGATTCTCATATCGCTGTATTGCTCCTAAAAAATGAAGGAAGAGGAGAAGGAAGATACCAAAGAAAGAATGTCAACAGTCATTCGTTCACATTACCTTAGCTAGTCTTTTTAGATTGTTTCAGGCACAGCTGGAGCATTCACTATTTATGTCCTGTCTCTCCTGACATTTTAAGTAATTTAAGAACCTTCATGTGGTTTGAAGTGATAGAAATCAATCAAAACACTAAACCAGGGGTCTTCAAACTTGGCCCTTTTATGACTTGTGGACTTCAAGTCCCAGAATTCCTCAGCCAGGCACTGCCTGGCTGAGGAATTCTGGGACTTGAAGTCCACAAGTCATAAAAGGGCCAAGTTTGAAGACCCCTGCACTAAACTAAGAGATATCCAACAAATATAACAGTCCTTGACAGACAAGAGTTGAGACCATCCTGGATTAATTGCCACAGAGTAGTGCAACTAAGAAGGCTACTTCTTGTCCCATCAAACTGTTCTCCATAAGCTCTGGCACTCTCCAGCCCTCTTCTGACCTCTCTAGAGAAAGTCTGCTGAGCCACAGAGAGTCCTAGAAAACTGTTTCAAGTCCAATTCTTCCCTCACATTTATGACTCATTAGAAGAACCTCCCATTTGTTCCCCAGGTTGACTACCTCAAGATTCCCTTCTCTAGGAAAGTTATTCATGATTTTCTCTAGCTTAAAAGTAATGCCTGATTCTTTGTGGGGTAGAGCTTCCTGTATTTTGGAAAACAGAAGCATTTTTCCAACTTACGTGCTGTCTTGACTCCTCAGTGCCTGAAAGGGTTCTCTCTTTGGGAGCAGAAGATCTAATGGTCATTGAATCAGGACCGGTGTGATGATCTGATTTAGGGTCCAACTCAGGTGTTCTCCTTCTCTGCTCCTCCAGTAAGCGGCTTGTCCTGGTTTTGCTGCCTTCTGCAACTCGTTGCTCCATCTGGCCTTGGCCTTGTTGTGACCCTCCTGTCTGAGCTTCAGAGCCCCTGCTGTGCCCTGACTGAGCATTCCTGGGCCCCTCCATTCCTCCATTGTATTTCATGGCTGCATCCATCTGGAAGAAAGATTTTTAAAAGAGACATTTTCAACATTGGCCTGGGCAGCATCTACTGAAAATCTTCCTCATGTTTTCCCAGCCCCTATGTGCCTTGCTAATTATCTGCAGTGTTAATACAGCATTGTTGTTTGCTTTAAGTCAGAAAGTTCTGGTCTGGATAAAAGCATGAAAGACTAGGCTGCAAGGACATAATAGCAATAGAACTTAGACCAGCGGTTCTCAACCTGTGGGTCGCGACCCATTTGGGGTCGAACGACCATTTCACGGGGGTCACCAAACAACACGATCCGCCATTTTGTCTGCCATTTTTTTTCCTCAGCCGGCGCAGGGGGCGGCACCACGCATGTGCGCTGCGCATGTGTCACTGCGCATGGGGGGAACCGCGCATGTGCGCCACGCATGGGGCACCACATGGAGCACCGCACAGCGCATGCGCAGCATGCATGGGGTGGCACAGTGGGCACTGCTGCGCATGCGTGCCACGCAGTGGGTGGTGCCGCGCATGCGCGCTGTGCATGCACGTCGTGTGCTTATGACCGGGGTCGCCGGTATAAAAAGGTTGAGAACCACTGACTTAGACTTATATACCGCTTCACATTGCTTTACAGCCCTTTCTAAGCAGTTTACAGAGTCAGCATATTGCTCCCAACAATCTGGGTCTTCATTTTACCGACCTTGGAAGGATGGCAGGCTGAGTCAACCTTGAGCCGGTGAGAATCGAACTGCCAAACTGCAGTACTGCATTCTCACCACCACGCCAGCATGGCTCATACACAAACCTATATAGGTCCAGATTTAAAACACTGAGACTGATGTGTTGATATATAAATAGTAGACAAATAGTTGCAAATCCAAAGTAAAATCATTTTGATTCCTTTTAAGTGAGTAGTTTTACCATTTCTCCTGGAAATCTCCCTAACGGGGTTGTGTATCTATATACAAGAATAGATATACATTATATTTTCTTTTTTATATTTTAGATATGAGACTGCAGATATAAAAGCAATTAAAGTGTGAAATTAGCCAGAGTTGCTCTCTTTAGATACAAGCCAGTTTTTTTTACCGTAAAGGACCTGGGAAGCGAGGCGATTCCTCTCATAGGGGCCCCAAAAGGCCTCGGGGTGACCACCGATGTCAACCTGGCGGTGTCGGTCTTCTGATAACTTCTTGGTAGAGATGCTGAAACCTGACCAGATCCAGTTTGGGCATTTGATGACCGGGAACTTGGCAATGGGGGCTCCATCCTTACTCCAGCCAGGCTGTCTATTGAGGTGAGAGGCTCATCCTTCACCCCACGTTCTGGTTTCTGGTCCTTTAGCTCATGATCATCTTCCCTTTTCAAGCCTCCATTTGCCTCGGTTGGAACACAGACTTTGGGAGATGCTTTCTCTTCCCTAAAGACGTCTTCGTTTGAGAAATACGATTGTTCCATCTCTTGCCAAGAGTTCCTCAGAGGAGCTTGATCTCGCCTCTCTCTAGAAGAAAAGCAAAAGCTTTGGGTAATCTATGACCTCCCAAGTAGTCTCTCTCTCTCTCTCTCTCTCTCTCTCTTTCTCTCTCTCTCTCTCTCTCTCTCCCCCCCCCCTCTCTCTGTGTATACAACTTGCAAGGTTGCAGTTATGTTGATTCAAAGAGGACACAGCAGGATTCAGGGCTGTTCTACAACACTCTTCTGTCCCCAGAGTAACAGGTACTATTTTCACGATGCTGGTGGCACACTTTTCCTCTGGATTTTTTTTTTTAAATAATTCTATGGTAGATAAAGAGGATTGGTCCACGTTTCAAATTAAAAGGTAAAATCTCCAATGCCGCTTGACCATCGGGGGAATATATTTTAAGAGCCAACGGTATCAAATCCAATCCTCGATTTACAACAGTTCTTTTAGTGGACCATTTGAAGTTACAGGGGGAACTGGGGAAAAAAAAAGACTTTGTTTTTCACACTTTGCACTGCAGCATTCCCATGATCATGTGATCGACATTCAAATGCTTGGCAACTGGCATGAATTGATGACTGTTCCAGTGTCCCGGGGCCAAGTGATCCCCTCTTGTAACCTTCTGATCAGCAAAATCAATGGGAAAGCCAGGTTTGCTTAACAACCCTGTTATTAACTTAACAAGTGCAGAGATTCACTTAACAAACGTGGCAAGAAAAGTCGTAAAATGGAGCCAAATTCACTTAACGCAACAACAGAAATTTTGGGCTCAATTGGGGTCGCAGGTAGAAGGCTACCTATAAACAGAATTTTATTTGTGCGCTCCTTTTTAAGAAAGCACAAAGCGCCTCCTGCATTTCATTGAAAAGAACTCTGGATACCTGATAGCATCAAACGAGGACAAAATGAAGCAGGCCAAGAAAGATCTTTAAAAGGCTCTTTTGCAGGGCAAACATCACCCATTCCCCCACACCCCCTCCAATTCTCCTCAATAGTTATATAAGACTTGTATTAAGAATGCAGAAATGGAGCTTATGTCAGAGCGAGTTTGGCTTGAGATCCAGAGACAAATCAATATTGTAACGGAGAAAACAAATAAGGAAGTTGAAAATGAACCCAGTTAAAATGGCAACATCAATGAGGCTTAAATTAAAAAGTTCCTTTCGAAATGATGTACTGAAATTATCAACGTATTTGGTTAATTAATTTTATTGATATGAGATGGTTATCATTTTCATTATTTAGGAATCCAATTATCCAATCACTCCGGAGAGAAGAACTGACAATTAAATATGCCGGCAACTGAGCGTGTAAATAAAGTCAAAGACAATCAATTAAAACCAGTTTGCTGCTGAATTCCAGCCAACGTAGCAAGGATTAAGCCTTTAAAGCTGCTAGACATGGCTGGCTAGTATTACCTGTCTCTCTGCATTTCTTTCAGGGTTTTACTGCGCCGTTCCGAGCTTTCCAAAGCTCTTCGCTCAATTTCTTCTCTCTCCTCCTTTTTCCTTTGCAGATCAGAGGTGTGGCTCCTGCGCCTACTTTTCCATTTTGCCAGATCCTATACAAAAAAGCCGCAGCAAGCAACGGTTAGGTAAAGCCTCGGTCTACAAGCTCCTCCAGCTGAACGTTCTGACCAAGAGTGAGCAGCTGACTGTTTTCACCTGAGATACCTATTGTGTTGCCTTCTCAAGTGTCTTTTCACCAGCCTGTCCTCAATCTGAACAATGGCAGCCTTTCAGCTTCCTGACGCTTACTAAAAGGTTTTGCAGGAGAAAATGCACCTGCTGCTCTAAAATGGAAGCTCTCGAAATCCCAATATTCCTTCCTAATTTCTACACAAATCCTAACTTCCAACTTTTTAGGCTTTGTTATTCAAAGCAGCAATGGCAGCTGGTATTTTTTTTATTAACCTGATCACCCAGCTCAGGAGCATTTCACATACTCTTGAATTACCTGGTGTAATTCAAAAGGGTGACTGAAAACCAAAACAGTATTGGATTCTCAGATGCCCTAACTGAGGAATGCATTTACTTCACCGTGGTAGCATGGTAGTAAGAATGCAGTATTGCAGGCAAATTCTGCCGACTGCCAACAGTTCAATCCTCAAGGTTGATTCAGCCTTCTATCCTTCCGAGGTCAGTAAAATGAGAACCCAGACTGTTGGGAGTAATAGCCGACTCTTGTAGAGAGGGCTGTAAAGCAATGTGAAGCGATATATAAATCTAAGTGCTATTGCTATTGTTGTTGATGTTAATCTTAGCCTCACTTTCATGTATTGTTGTTATTCCCACACTTTAGTCTATGAGAACATGTGTGGCAGGCAATTTCTTAAGAACTAGCCACCTTAATGGTTGCACCTTCCAGTCTTGGATTTTTCTCTGTTGTTCTTTTGGCTCCAACAAAATTTAGGCCTTTTAATCATGTATGATCTTTCTGTATCATGATCTGCTAATCAATTTTATATCTGCTGTTACGATATTTGCTATCTGCAGCTGTCAGTTGATTCTGTCTGTTTTTTTCTCTGGCAGAAAATGCACCTTGCTGAATTCTCGTCTGAGGCCAAGAATCACCACTGGAAGAAAAATCACATTGTTTCTCTAGCATGTCTATTAGAAGATATGGTGACCAAAGCTAGCGAAAGCATCTTTTGAAGTTCTTCTGGGCCTTTAATCCATTTTCCATTACTCTGTTCCCACCCTCAGCCCTCCTTCCACTTCTAAAGGAGAACCCAACCCACGTGCCATCCCATCTCCTACTTCTGATAGGCACGCGGTTAATGGCTGCCACCCACATTCTGTTTCTTGTGGACCGTCTTTTAGAACCACCAAGAGGGACTGCAAAGAGGGGTCTTTCCAAGTCTTACATCTTGCCACTGCTGATCTTGTTCCCGCAGCTGAGTTTTTATTTTCTGGAGCTCTTCGTAACGCATCTGCCGGATCGTTTGTAGCTCATCTGCACTGACGTCATTCAAGGATTTACTCCTAGAGTTAGAGACAGACTTTTAGAGTTCCAGACCATTTCCTTCTTCAAGAAGGGATCGAATAATCTGATTAGCAGAAATAAGACTAGGTGTTCTACAACCAGGTAGTTTTTAGTAGCGTGTAGGGTGAGAATGCTTTGCTGCACCTATGAAATGGCCATCTCAGAGAGTCACAGAATTGTGGAGTTGGAAAAAGCCAGAAGGATCCTTTGGTCCAACCTTTACAAGGGAGAACCAATTAAGAGAGGTGGTTCTCCAGCCTCTTCTTAAGAAACTCCAGAGATGAAGAAGCCACATCTGTCACACTGTGATGCAACAGACGTTACCATCAGATTTTTTTCTCCTTATACTTAAATGAAATACAGGTTTCTAAATCCAGTTCCTGACCGTCTTCCGTGGGTTATCCTTTTATAGAGCACTTTACGTAACTTTTAATGATTTTTAATGAAAGGGTCTAAATATGAGATGGCCATTTCCACCCGTCTTTTCAAGGCTCTGGGTCAATATTTAGAAGAGCTCTCTTCCAAATCCGTAACTCAGGACACTCTGAAAGTTACTACACTGAATATCAAAGTCTGCCTCCCACTTCATGGTCAGGACTCTCTTGGGATGCAGGAGAAGGGAAAAAAAAAGATTCTGTGATCACGTATTTCCTGTAGCCCTAAAATATGCTGAGCAAAATAGACTGCAAAACCATAGTACAAAAAACTAAACACTGCCCTTTGCATCTGATCTTAAGCATGACAGAGCAAGTGGGAGTTTCTCCATCATCTCACCAATATCCACCCTCCCTCCAACAGATTTTGACATCATGCATAAATGCAGGTGGCCACAGTTGAAGTTATGAGAAACAACGGGGGGGGGGGGGAGAGAGAAACGCTAAATCTAGATCGTCTTAGGTTTGTCCATTATGTGTGGCTGGAGTACCCCAACATTTGCACTATCCCCTAAAGTGCACCATGAAGCTATGTGGCTCCCCCATTGAACAAAGGGTGATAGGGTGTAGGCATGGGCAAGAGACAAACAAATCCCATAGTAGGTGAGATAAGCTATTATGGCTTATTTAACAAGCCATAAACGAGACCATTAATTGTGCTCTAAATGCTTTCTCCAGATGGGAGGTTCCTTCAGAATCCCAAAAATAAAGCAAAAGAGGAGAAGAAAGAATAATCTTTCTTCATCTCCCAAGAAAATTGCATAAATGAGATTATAAATGAGGTCATAAAACTAATATATCTATTTTATATTTATTTTGGAGGAGGAGGAGGAGGAGGAAGAGGAGAAGAAGAAGAAGAAGAAGAAGAAGAAGGAGAAGGAGAAGGAGAAGAAGAAGGAGAAGAAGAAAGAGGAGGAGGAGGAGGAGGAAGAGGAGAAGAAGAAGAAGAAGAAGAAGAAGAAGAAGGAGAAGGAGAAGAAGAAGGAGAAGGAGAAGAAGAAAGAGGAGGAGGAGGAGGAGAAAACAAAGGAGAGAAAAGTAACATATGACAAAACTCTTCACTTTATAATTAATAACAAAAGATCTAAGCACATCAGAGTCGACAGTTATATGTCCCCTCGCAGTGACCCTTGATGATTCTGGAAGCTGATAACTGGTTAGGATGGAGTTAATCTCCAGACTGATCACGGATCTGGTCCTCTTCCAAATCCATCTGCCCTCCAACACCTCCCCCCACTAGATAAGACTTCAAAGAAGTGATGAAAAACTCATGCATCTTCACCCAATCCTCATGTGCCCCCCCCAACCCCAAGGCAGCCCCCATGCACATCAGCAGCATCAGCATCAGCCAAAGCAACTCTCAGAGCTCAGCCTGGACCAGCATTTCCTTCCTGGCCTATCTTTTCATTTCTCTTTTCTCTTTCTTTCTTTCCCTCTCTCCCTCCCTCCCCCTCCTCCTTCCTTCCTTCCTTTCTCTTTCTTTTTTATATTTCTTTTCTCTCTCTCTCTCTTTCTTTTCTCTCTCTCTCTCTCTCTCTCTCTCCTTCCTTCCTTCCTTCCTTCCTTCCTTCCTTCCTTCCTTCCTTCCTTCCATTCTTTTTCAGGGTTAAAGGAATCTTGTCAGCTATCAGCTAATTGATTCATTGTCCAGACAAATAGATTGTCTTCCTAAGAGGATTACAGTATATTAATTCAAATCCAGGGCAAACAATAATTCAAATAGCATATTAAATTCTGAGATGCAGCCACAAGCTTTCTTTCCATCTGGAAATAAAACAACCCTTTCATTTTCATGGATCGTTTTGGGCTGTAGAGTGTCCTGATGAAGAGCGTGGTGAATGGTGATTAGAAGATCTTACACATGAGGGGTCCTTGTTATTCCCTGAGCTTGGTTGTTTTCTTACAGATGTAAGAACGAAGCTCAGAGATAACCAAGGAACTCTCATTTCAACCCTGAGCAATAAATATTCGTCTTTATCGGAATTTAGAAATACTAAGATTGACAACCTCTTAGTAACATTAGTCCAATCCTAACTGAAGAGGCCCTTCAAAATCCTATTTTTAATTGTTTTTATAAACTTCTTTTCTGGCTAAACTAGATGGCTCGTGGGGTTGAATAATGCAAATAAATAAATAAAGCTGAAAATATGCATCTGTTTCCAAAATGGCCATCCTGCACTTATTCTTCTGCCACCCAATAAGATTTATAAGATGTTTCAAATTATATTGGCAAGATGGGCTGCTCTTGCCCTATCTCTGCCATCAGCTAAAAAAAAAAAATGGAGTAGCCTTTACTGATGTATTTGTATCTATATCTCTCTCATCTGTCTGTCTGTCTCTATTTGTCTGTCTACCTATCTACCTACCTGCCTATCTATCTCTCTCCCTCTGTCTGTCTGTCTGTCTGTCTGTGTCTGTCTGTCTATCCATCCATCCATCAATCCAATGCTGGGATTTAGCCGGTTCACACAACTTCAGTAGAACCCGTAGCTGATTTTTTGTTGACTTTGGCAAATCAGCTGAAGGCCTAACCGTTTTTTGCAAGGCCCAGAACAGCCCACTGGGAATGTGTGAATGCCACTTCCAGAACTCCATTCTGAGCCTCGGAGACCTGGGGGAGTCCTTCCAGGCCCAGAACGGCCCACCAGAAGTGTGTGGATGCCACTTCCAGAAGTCTGTTTTGAGCCTCAGAGGCCCGGGGAGTCCTCCCCGGCCCAGAATGAACCACTGGAAATGTGTGAATGCCACTTCCGGAAGTCTGTTCTGAGCCTCAGAGGCCCAGGGGAAGGCCTCCCCGGCCCAGAATGGACCACTGGGAGTGCGTGAGCACTGCTTCCAGAAGTCCATTCTGAGCCTCAGAGGCCCAGGGGAGGCCTCCCAGGCTCAGAACGGAGCATTGGAAGTGTGTGGACACGACTTCAGGAGTCTGTTCTGAGCCTCAGAGGCCTGGGGAAGGCCTCCCAGGCCCAGAATAGTCCAATGGAAGTTCATGGATGCTGCTTCCAGAAATCCATTCTGAGCCTCAGAGGCTCAGGCCCAGAACAGACTTCTGAAAGTGGCGTCCACGCAGAGAACCAGTTGTTTTGGACTGTTTTGGACTCAAGCATTCTCTTTGGTATCAGATTTCTATCCAGAGTTCAGGAGAGAACAGGCCACTCAACTTCATGCTGCAAAAATGGCCCGTTTTCTTTTAAACTCCTCCAAGTCCTGAAAGGGTAGTGTGGGGGAGCTGGTTCGGCACACATTCGCAGACTGAGAATAATTTTGAACTTAAGTAAGAGGTTGCTGCCTAAGACATTGTTTATATTCTCTCTAAAATTCTTTGCTGGAATTAGGAAGAAAAAGCTGGAATTAAGAGTCCAGGAGTGGCAACGTAAGGCCGACCTTCCTGTAGGTTGTGATTTCTTTTTTTCAAACGATTGCCAAAATATAAAACGTATATTGTGTGCATGGATTAGAAAGCGATAACAAGCCTAAAAAATACAGGTTTCAGGTTTTATTGTGTGGCTTGTAAGTTGTTCAGTGCATTTAATACTGTAGCTTCTACTCTTGTTGAGTACTATTGCTGGCTATGGGGAAGGAAACATTTTAAAAAATGTTTTTCAATCCATGTTCTGCTCAGCATGGGCTCTAATCGTCCTTATTCTGTGGCCCCTCAAACATTTTAGGCATTCTTCTACATAATATGGAAGGTTTTGACTTTCGGGTGAGATGTTTGTTTGTTTATTAAGCTGCTTAATCACCCACCTCCCTCACAGACGGGCTCAGAGCGACATACAATTTAATCAATACTATAACATTTCAAAAACCAAATAATTTAAGATTAAACAATGCTCTGAGTGCGGCTGTTTCAGAGACCTGGGACAAACAGCTGCATGCAACTGAACACCTCCCACACTTACAGACAACATCAGCATGATGGCTTGTGGCAACTGGCTTACACAGCAACAGCTACATTTTATTTTTGACTTATTGTATTTATTTCTGACTTATTTGGGGTCTTTAGCCAAACAGGAGCAGAGTTGCCAAAGTTTACCAGAACCGAAGCTGTTTGTGAGAATTTGCAAAGCTGTACCTAGAGTTCGCCACCCCACCCCCACAGCTTCCAAGTTAGTCTCTTGTGGTTTTTCAGGGACAGCAGCAGCAGCAGCCCCTGCAACCCCTTGGGGGGAGTCCCAAAGATGCTTCCGCGGGCGCTTTGCAAGCCAGTTGGGCGCCAGACCCAAAGCACATGCACACGTGGCCTCAAGCAGAGTTACAAGGAAATCAATGGGAAGGTTAGAGGCGTTCACAGTCTGCCATGCTTCCGTCATTCCACTTACCCATGTTCCTCAGAAATCTTTTGCAACAGCCTGGGGGAAATCAGAAAACCAACAAAGTTCATGCGTCCCGTTCCACTGGCATTGCCGTATGTAACGATGCCTACAGGTTCATGCCCACCTTATCAGCTATAGCAGCAATTGAACTGGAAAAGGGGCACGAGGTCCCTGCAACTAATTCAACAGCTTCGTCTTTTGAAGAACCATTTTAACTTTTAACTTTAACTTTTCAATGTGACCCTAAACACTTTTCTGACCTCTGTTTCTCATTGTTTGATATGGACCATGCAAATGTATGAGCTTCACTTATGAAAATGCCAACGGTTACATCACAGTTGTACATAGAGCATTTTTCACTATTTCAAACAAATATTAAGACATGTCCAAAGCTTAACACGTGGGAAAGAAACCAGCTGCAGCTGCTTTAGACTCGGTAGATTTTTAGAATGTAGGTAAGTTGTCGACTTACAACCACAACTGAGCCCCAAGGCTTCCATTTCTAAGCAAGGCAGTTGTTGAGAGAGTTTTCCCCCATTTCACCATCTTTTCTTGCCACTGTTGTTAACTGAATCATACAGTCATTGAGTGAATTTGGCTTCTCCCATTGATTCGGCTTGTCGAAAGCCAGCTGGGGAAGATGATCACATGAACCCGGGGCAACACAACTGCCCTAAATACACGCCAGTTGTCAAGCGCCCAAATTTTCATCATATACCCATGGGGATTCTACAATGGTCGTAAGGGTGAAAAACGGCCATAAATCACTTTTTAGTGCTGTTGTAACTTTGAATGGTCACTAAACAAATGGCTGTAAGCCGAGGACTAATTCCAGAACTGCTTAAAGACCATGTGAATTGAATGCCTGGCCCCTGCCCAGTTGGTGGGCACAGGAGAAAAAGAAACCCAGTAACAAAGGCTCTTGCCAGCAGAGAACTCAATACATGGGTGGAGCGATCAAGTGTTTATTCTAAATTTAATATTTACGTTTAAGAAAACGATCAGCTTGCAGATACTTGTTTCCCAATGAAAAATGCACAATTGGTCCTTTGGAATGAGGCAGTGAGCAAAGATACAGAACACTTAAAGAAGAAGTTATGGCTGGTGCAAGGAGAATGGAATGGATGAGGTCATTTCAAGACGAAAAAGACTTTACCAGATGAACATCAGAAATCTCATTAAGATTGACCCAAGACTGTGTCTTCGCGGTGAACGATGGGGCCAATAATCAGCTCTCTAGAATCCAAACTTCTTCTGTAAAGGTTGTAAAATCCCTCCCATATGAGGGGAATTAAAAACAAAAATCAGTGGAAATGTTTCTGCCTTTTTCCCTCTCCCTCAAGTATAAACAAACATGTCAACTTCTTTGGAACTGGGCTTGTTTTCTGAGCAACAAGGAAACAATTCTGGACAATTCAGACAATTAACAAGGCTTGGGGAAAAAATGGGGTTATAGAAACTGTTTTTTTAAAAAAACCAAATATTAAGCCGGCATGATTCAGGAGCACACATTCTGAAACAGTTTAATAGACATTAATTAATAGTTAAAACAGATTAAATATTGCCAAAATATAGATTCTACTTTGATCTGATCAAAGGAGTTGCAGGCTGAGCAGCAACACATTAAGCCCTTTGTGAGGAAAATAAAATTGGAAAAGGAGTTTATCTTCCTTCTGTCTCATTTTCAGAGATGATTTTCAACTCAAGAGAAGCATTTTATGTTCACCTAAGAATTTTTCTGGAAATAGGCTGTCAGTGATTATGGCTTATGTTTATTCAACTACAGACTTCAAACATACATCATTTTTCGAGAACAATTGCATACTAAGGGGTACCAGCTTCTTATTAACAACAGAAGCCTGTATTCTTGACCCACTACAATAAATATAGTCTTGGAGTTACTCCACAAATAGATCTCTAACTTCTGACAGATGGATTGCGAGCCTTTGATGACCTGAATGAGCAACAACAGAACTGATGGGGATAGACATGAACATCAAGCTTAGACGTCACACCACGACATGCTTTGTTGAAAACCAAACACCACCGTTCGCTTCCAAGCACTATTTCTAAATACTCAGATGCAAGTACGATCCATGCATGACCACGAGCTGACCTGTCAACCATTTGCCGTTTCTTATGCCTGATTCTGCTGGCCTCTCTGATGGTTTCCCATTTTTCCATATCTTGTTTGCTACACACTCCTGGAAAGAAGCTCTTGCGTTGCACGTTCCCTCCTAGGCAGAGCAGCTCCATTTTTCGGGTCAACATATCGTCTTTCTTTTGCCTTGAAGAAGGAGATAAGACTTTTCCTCTGCTTTCACGTTCACTCTTAAGGGTGGACTTCTCCAGCAAGCATAGAAATTTGGCCTGGATTTCTGGGGGCAGACTCCAAGGGTCCGGGAAGAGGGCTGGCTGGTATTTGTCAGGGGCACCCGATAAAGGCACTTCTTTCTTTTGCAGTTGAGCTTTGCGAACAGTGAAGTCATCTTTTTCTAAATCTGGAAATATTTCCTCTTCCCCATCTCTGGGCTGAAGCACAATTTCTCCTTCGATCCGTGGACTTTGTTGACAAGACCTCCTAAAATACTCAAAATCTTGGAGAACGACTGGATTCGCGTGGGAGGCACCGGTCTTACGGACGAACAAATCGTCGTTTTCCAGATCTGGGTAAAAGTCTCTAATCTCGTGGATTCTTTGGTCACAGCCTGGCCTAAGGTAATTATATTTTCTGCATGTTATGAGCCGAGGCCCTGAAGATGGGTCAACTTCGGTTCTATGGTCAGAAGACAGGTGGCCCTCTGAATACTTTTGCAGGGCTCGAAGAAATAAAAACTGGCTGAGATACAAAAGATACACATAAACATTAGATTTGCAGAATGCTGTAGGTCACAGAGACCACAAACTTAGCAAAGGTTGCTAGCCTTAGCAAAGGTTGCAACCTTAGCAAAATTTATCGATTCTGGGCTCTGTCATTTCTGCACATGAATGAAGGATTGTCCCCGTAGGCAAAGATCTGTCCACATCAGAAACGGATGCAGGAAAGAGAGGGAAAAGATTGCAATGCTTTCCTCTCTCCTTTTACTATCATAGCTGGAGGCTTTCAAAAAATATCTATTAAGGAACATCCCCTCAAAAGAGGTCTTCAGCTGCTGAAGTGATACAACCCAGAGAAAGTTTTGCCGACTTAACAAGCACTCAACGGAAAGGAAGACCAAAAGATGCAGGCACTCCAGGAAAGTGCACAAACACACACGGAAGCAAGGCTGGTTTGGATGCCCAGTTCTTTAAAAGGACAAGACTTCTACTTTGGGGTAACAGCAAAGCAGGCCAGCCATTGTAACAGGCACAGGAGTAGCAACCAGCAGACATAAAACAATCCAGATCACTTCAGTAGCATGAATTCCAAATGCCCAGGTACAGAGATTGTATTAGAAAGACAGCTTCCGTATCAATATTTCACATCCCCGTTTAGCAAAGCACAAATGCCTTCACTCAGGTCAACCCATCTGGCTCATGCAATTGTAGGAACCTTGGCAGTTCGCCTGCAGCAATTTCAGTGGTTGGCTTGGTGGGTTGAGCATCTTCTTGGCATCTGATGCCCAAGCTGTCCATGATGCTGTGGCTGGGCTGGACTTTTGCATCCTCCTCTTCAGCATCTGCCAAGTTACTGTATAGGATCCCACATTGAGAGAAGAAGAAAAGGCAGAAAAATAAGCCCTGACCGAAAAGTTAGGTTGCAGCAATCTATTTCAGCACCCAACACAGAGGCCACAGGCAACGATGAACAGAAAAACTATCCACTGCAATTGCCACAGGCTACAATGGACACCTCCCTCCCCCCATGTGCATGGACTCCAATGAGCTAAAATGCGTTTTCTAGAAATCAGGTTGGATGCAGAAAGAACATGCAAGATGACAAACCTGAATCCTTGAATTTCCTTATACCACTGTTTGGAAAAAGATATCCTTTGTGCTTTTTTCCAGTGCAACTCTTCACCCGGAGCCCAAGACTTAGGGAGGAATTTATGAGAGGAAAGTTTTACAGCTGATACAGCAGCACTTATTTTGCGAGCATAAAGGTCATCGGCTTCAATGTCTGGGATGCCCGTGGTTTTCTCCTCCTCCTCTTCTTCCTCCTCCAAATAGTTGGAGAAGTCTGAAAGAATGTAAGTTGCTGACTTGCGTTCCATCCCGGGCCCCAAAATTCTTCTGTGGTTGCTGCACAAAACATCCAGTGAAGTTGGATATATTCAAACACAAATAGAAAAACTGGCTATTGAATACAGAAGACCATCTTGCCCTTTGTCTTAAAATGACTGACTTGTGAATGAAGCTAAAGGAATTATGAGTACAAAACCATTGTACTAAACAAGTACGAAAATGTTGAATGCATTGTAACCCTTCTAAGAGAATAAAATTATAGGAATCATTATTAAAAAAACCCAAAACCCTACTGATGGAAGACATGTCTTAAAGAGACTGCCAAAACATTATTTACAGAAAGCTTTTCAAGAGCAGATTATTTTGATCGAGAGAGCTGGATATGATGAATGGGTCAAGGGGACAATGATCCCCAATCCTTTCTGATGGTTACCAAAAGGAGCAGAAATTTTTCTTTCCCAAGGACCCACATTTTGCCAAGTCCTCTACAAACACCTGAAGTATTCTCACTTTCCTCTCCCCAGAGATGCTACCGTCAGGGCCAGCAGATCATCAGTGGCCATGCAACGTCACTATCACCTAGTCCGATTCTCTGCAGAGATTGGCCCAAATAGTAGTTGAAGAATAGAAAGAAAAGACTAGCACCAATGATGTTACCTAGTTTGGCTCATGAAACATCTGCAAGGAAACAACCAAGCTCAGAAAGCACCCAGGACCCCTCAAGAAAAGCGACAGAATATAATTAATGCCCGTGGCATACACTAGAATCGTGTGACGTACAAAAACCATAGCAAACAAACACTTGCAGTCAGGCGCAGCTAGTCTCTATGAATTTCAGAAGGTAGACAAGGAAAGACGCTCCTGGTCTACCACCCTACAGTTTCCACGCTCTTGAAGAACAGCCTGTCTGGGGTGGGAGGGAAAGAAGGAGCCGGAATGCGAGTTATAGCTTATTTCAGGTTCCAACCAATGAACAGCAGTTTTACTCTCAATAATCCTATTAAAGAGACAGAACACAAAGATTCCAATTTTACCATAAGAAAAGACGTGTACTGGTTGATGGTGATTAATAAACCTAGTAAGCTTTAAATAGAACCCAACATTGTCCAGACATCCTGACTGAGCAGGGGTTGGACTAGATGACCTCCAAGGTCCCTTCCAACTTTATTATTATTATTATCTTTCAGAGTTCTCAAATTAAACTAAGATGTTCTTCAATTAAGTGTACTTGATTTAGTTTTAATTTACACAGTTAAACGGCAGAATTGGTGACAACTACTAACAGAACTGACCCATCACTGCAAAGTTATCTCAGTGGTTTTTCACTGTAATTTGAATTACTAGCAGCTGAAAGGGAATCCGAGGGACCAAGGCTATGAGACAGGAGGCATCTGACATTCATTAACCTGATCAACTGAAGTCTTAGATTCTTGGCTATTAAAGGGGCCACGGCATAGACAGAACTAGCAAATGGAAATAACTTTCTCTTCCCTACTGGGTCTCTCATTTTCCCAGTTTGTTTTGGTTTAGCAAAGCATCCCATCAGCGTCAGGCTCAGTCACAATTTGTCCTCGGAGCTAAAAGGTTCAAATTAAGCCTTGCCGCTCCTAAAGATGAAATGCTAAACCAGTGGTTCTCAACCTGTGAGTCAGGACCCATTTGGGGTTGAACGACCATTTCACGGGGATCGCCAAACAACACAGTCCGCCATTTTTTCCCCCTTTTCCTTAGCTGTGCTACTCCCTTTTATTCTATTGGCTTTTGAAAGCCAATAGAATAGACTCTCTTGAATAGAGTCTAATTCTATTGGCTTTCAAAAGCCAATAGGAATTGTCTAGGCTGTCTCTGCCCTGCTGAGCCCGCCAAAAGTCCCATTCCGCAAACGGTGCTGCACCAGTTGAGTAGTCCTCGACTTACAACCGGTTGAGTAGTCCTTGACTTATGACCGGTTGGGGGTCGCGGCATTAAAAAGGTTGAGAATCACTGTGCTAAACCATTGCTAAGGGAAACAGCAGCAGGAAAAGAAAATTGCATCAGAAAAGAAGATGGTACATTGCGGTCCAGCAAGCAGATTTTCTCAGCCTTTGCGGTAATCAGAGGGTTTGACCTTTGAGCATTGCGAGAATACCTCGAAAAATTTCCATCCGGTTCAGTAAATACGGGACTCGCCCAGCTTCTTCTGTTATCTTCGTTCTTCTCGATTCTCTTCTTCCTTAAGGGAGCTGGCATATAAGTTGGTGGCTTGGTTTTGCTGGGCAGGAAACGGTTGAATTCTGCAGCAGGCTTGGGTTCAATTAAGGCAACTCGGCGGTAGGACATGTCATCTTTGCCAGGGTCGTGCATTCTGGCGCGTGTCTCAGAATCCGTGTCACTCTCAAAATCTTTGACAGATATAAGAAGGAACAAAGATCCAGTTAAAATGTGAGAACTGGGGACCCACAAAGTGACAATCAAATACTGACTGGTTATATTGCTTTATGTTGGAAACAAACAGACCAAATGGCTTTTTTTAGATGAACGCCATAATATCGCACCCAAATTAACTTCGTTCATCTTCCAGGAGATCCATCATTATTTTTTAATTCCTATTTTAGACTTGCAAAATGATGCATTAGTCCCAGCGCAATGCCACAGACAATGTTCCATTCTAGAATTTGCAGTACAGGTAGTCCTCTGCGTACAATCACAATTGAGCCCAAACTTTCTGTTGCTAAATGTCTATGGCAGTGTTTTTCAACCTTGACAATTTTAAGGCATGTGGACTTCAACTTCCAGAATTCCACAGCCAGCAATGCTGGCTGTGGAATTCTGGGAGTTGAAGTCCACATGCCTTAAAATTGTCAAGGTTGAAAAACACTGGTCTATGGAGATAGTCATCCAGGTCATGGTTGTCGCAAAGAGTGCTTTTTCAGGAGGCAACTGGACTTTCTTGTTTTTCTTTGAAGACGGAACTTCTTCAAAGAAAAACAAGGAAGTCAGTTGCCTCCTGAAAAAGCACCCTTTGCGACAACCATGACCTGGATGCCTGAGAATCTCCATAGACATTCAGCTATGCCCTTTGGGATGAACAGCCTTTGAATGGTGCAGGAGTATGAATGGTTTTCCAGAGAACATTGCAGACTACAGGAATCATTTGCACTTCAGTTTGAGAGGCAGACAACACAGACTCATCCCCAACAGCCCACACCTGTCATCAACACTGAAGGGACACAGGGCACGAAACATCTTGCAGCCAAGAAGGCTCCACACACATTTGCACCACTCAGTTGACCCTGAGGACCCAGATAAACCTCCAGGTGGCCTCAGTGTCTCTCTAAAACAGGCATGTCAAACTCGCAACATCACGTGACGTTGTGCGACGTATCGGGACTTTTTCCCCATTGCCGGCAATGGGGTGGGCGTGGTTTCGGCGTGATGCATCCGGCCCGCGGGCCGGCAGTTTGACATGCCTGCTGTAAAAGAAGGCAAATGACCAGCTGTCTGCAAAGAGTATAAATGCTTCCATTCCCAGGGGAGGAGAGTGATGAAGGAGAGGAGAGGAAGAAGGGGGAAGTAGGGAAGAGAAGAAAGGGAGAAAGAAGGTAAAGAAGAAGGAGTGTGGATACGGTGAAAGGGGAAATGGGCGAGCAACACCAAAGTTATGTGTATGTATTTATTTCATTTTGTTAAAAGTATCTGTATGTGAGTGTGGAGGGAATGTATGTTAATATTTGATAAGTATTACGGTATATGTATGGGGGAGAGTTTGGAAAAATAAAAAATTATTAAAAAAAAAAATCCTTCCATTCCCCACCATCCAGTCAGAGTCGAAGAAGCTTCTTGGATGAGAAGTGAAATGTCTTCAAGGGAAAAACAGGGGAGTCCAGTTGCCTCCTGAAAAAAAGCACCTCTGCTAAGTTGGACAATTGTTAAGTGAATTTGGCCCCATTTTATGACCCTTTTTGCCACGATTGTTAAGCGAATCACTGCAGTTGTTAAGTGAGTCTGGTTTCCCCGTCGACTTTGCTTATCAGAAGGTGGCAAAAAAATGATCACATGATCTCGGGACACTGCAACCGTCATAGGTGTGAACCAGTGGCCAAGCGTCTGAATTTTGATCATGTGACCATGGGGATGTTGCAAGGGACACAAGTGTGAAAAACAACCATAAGTCACTTTTTTCACCACTGTTGTAACTTTGAACGGTCACTAAATAAATGGCTGTACTACTACTACTAATAATAATAAAGTTGGAAGGGACCTTGGAGGTCATCTAGTCCAACCCCCTGCTCAGGCAGGAAACCCTATATCATTTCGGACAAATGGCCGTCCAGTCTCTTCTTAAAAACGTCCAGTGTTGGAGCATTCACCACTTCTGGAGGCAGGTTGTTCCACTGGTTAATTGTTCTCACTGGCAGGAAGTTTCTCCTTAGTTCTAGGTTGCTTCTCTCCTTGGTTAGTTTCCATCCGTTGCTTCTTGTCCTGCCTTTGGGTGCTTTGGAGAAGAGCTTGACTCCCTCTTCTTTATGGCAGCCCCTGAGATATTGGAAGACTGCTATCATGTCCCCCCTCGTCCTTCCCTTCGTTAAACTAGACATACCCAATTCCAGCAACCGTTCCTTATATGCTTTAGCCTCCAGTCCCCTAATCATCTTTGTTGCTCTTCTCTGTACTCTTTCTAGAGTCTCAACATCTTTTTTATATTGTGGTGACCAAAACTGGATGCAGTATTCCAAGTGTGGCCTGTCAAAGACTGTATCAGTATGCATATGAATGAATCAGTATGAATGAACGAACAAACAAACAAACTAACAAACAAACAAACTCTAATGCTGAAGTAGAACCCACTTTTTTAAAAAAGAAAATCAACGTTTTCCAGTGCAAACTCGAGGGATTTTGCTAGAAAGGAAAGTTAGGTTTGGAAGTGAGTGAAAAGAAAATGAATCTCCCACAGAGCACGTGAGGCTGAAGAGGAAATCAGCTGGGATGGAACTGAAGCACTGAAGTATTGATGTAATTATTTTTAGAGGTCTGAATGATGAAATATATTGAGCAGAGTTGAAACGAAGGCTATATTTTTAATGCCCAAGAAAAGGAATGATGAAAATGAAGTTCTAAATCAGTGTGAGGAGGATCAAAGGAGTAAAAAATTCAAACTTCAAATAGAAGATGTTTGTGAAGGGGTGGTGTGACTTTTTTAGCCTGTGCATCCAAGCTAGGGCATTTTAAAAATTGATTGCTCTTTTAATTCTCTTGTATTTTTTGTTGCATTGATGACTGTATATCTAATGTTATGTTTTACCAATCATTTTAAGCCACCGTTCGAAGCTAACAGCTTGAAGTTTACTGTAAATTGCTTTGGGACTTTTGCTTCTGTTTTTAATGAGAAGCAATCGGCAAATGTTTTAAATAAATAGCTTACAATGCATTTTTTTTTTAATCAGTTGCTCATCATTAAATTTTCTGTGCCTTCGGGCAACCTAGCACACAATCTAAAGGATAACCTGAGAAAAAATAACACATTAAAGTGAATGCAGCAACGACACCAAACAACACTGGAATTGTTTCCAAAGCCTGTCTTCTAAAAATAATAATAATAATAAAAAATTAACCCAAAGCACAAGAATCACCTTCACTGCCACCTTTCAGAGTGAGATCCGAAGAGAAGCTGGTGGAAGATCTGGAGCCAAAAGAATCCAAGCTGTCTAAGGAATCGTCCCGCTTGTGATTGGTGGACAATGAAAGCGGATCAATACGTTCGGTGCACCAAAAATCCCCGTATCCGCTATCTCTCCCACTTTGTTTGGGGCTGTAGGATTCCCCCAAGGCCTGTAGGAGAAAAAGCACAAAAGAGTTGTGTGTGTGTGTGTGTGTGTGTGTGTGTGTGTGAAGTTCAGCAGAAAGCCTGTAGGATTCAGAGACCAAAGCCTCTTCTCCTTGCCGGGGTATCACAACTGACAGAAAAAAGAGCTCCTATTGAAGCTCTCAAAGGCTATTGTTTTAGTCTACAGGTTAAAATGAGATCTATGCAAGAAACAATTGGGGGAAACAGCAACAACCAAGGATGAGTCTCATATTTTCATGGGGAAGAAAGGCACTAAAATTGCCAGGCCTCTGACATCAGATGGCTGATATCTCTGCCAATGATTTTGAAGCTTAGGGTTCATTCATTCTGAGGGATGTCTACCATCTTTGTTGCCTGATTTGTCTGTACACAATGAGCAGATAAGAGGGCCAGTGAAATGAGACAATTCGCCACAGCCAACTCGTCGTGGCCATCTCACCACACAGCCATCTCACTGCAGCCATTTTGCCATGGCTAACCCATCACAGCCATCTCACTGCGGCCTACTTGCTGTGGGACAATTCCATGTGGGATAACTTAGTGAGATAAATGTTATTCACCACTGTTTCTTTGACATTATCTCCATTTTTGTCAGTGTTATTTCCATCAAAGAAACAGTGGTGGATAACATTTGTCGTGTTGAGTTATACAATGTGGAATTGTCCACAGCGAGTTGTCCTGTGGCAAGATTGCCGTCGTGGGTTAGCCATGTCAAAATGGCTGTGGTAAGTTGACTGCGTTGAGGTATCCTAGACCAGGAGTCTTCAAACTCTGCCCTTATATAACTTGTGGACTTCAGCTCCCAGAATTTCTCAACCAGGCATGCTGGCTGAGGAATTCTGGGAGTTGAAGTCCACAAGTCATAAAAGGGCAGAGTTTGAACACCCCTGTCCTAGATCCTTGGGGTATTTCCCTTGGAAATTCAGAGTGAAAGTCATCGGAAAAGATTTCCTAGAAACATCACTGAGAATCCATTTGAATTGCCAGTTTGAATGTTTGTTGACAAACATTTGTCAAGCAAGGCAGATGCCGAACAAGGTACTATGAGAGATACAGAGAGGCCTGTGATGTTTGTCTTTTCTAAAATGATCCTTCCACTGAGGCCTTACCTTGGTCAAGGCTTGTCCAAGCAATTTCTCAAAGGCTTTCAAATCAAGGTGGGGGCCATAATAGGAAGGGCTGCGGGCTGCTTTTCTGCCCAGCCAGTACAAGGTAATCAAAACCTTAAAAATGACAGAATTATAGAGAATAGTTAGAGTAATCAAACGTAGTTCCAGAAGATATTTCTCAATTCTAACATTCCTGTATTAGAAGAGCTGACCATGAGTGGTTTCTTTGGACTATGTGTGTGTTGCAACCAGGACTGGGCTTGAACATCCTCACAAAAACCCTCCTTTCAGAGATCTCTAAATCAACTCACCAGATCTCAGTGTATGGAGATATGTCTCAATGATACCTGGGCCTAAACTGTGAAATGTTCTAAAGGTAACAACCAGGAACTGTATCTGGAAGGGAACTCTTAACCAGAGCACATCCTCAGATAGAGATGTCAAATGGAAGAATGTCATGAGCCAGAGAAGAACTTCTGAAAAGTCTTCAAGAGTGGTTCAATGTCAAGAGCACAGCTTTTTACAGCTTCCTAATTACTTATTTAATTGGGTGTTAGATTTATGCCCCCCAGGAACCTAGGTGGCTCCCCTCTATTCCCATTTTTCCCCATAATGAACACAATAGCCAGGGATAAAGTCACCCAGGGAGAGTTGCACGGCTGAGGTCGGCCTGAACCTAGATCAGGAGTCTTCAAACTTGGCTCTTTTATGACTTGTGGACTTCAATTCCCAGAATTCCTCAGCCATGCATGCCTGCCTGAGGAATTCTGGGAGTTGAAGTCCACAAGTCATAAAAGGGCCAAGTTTGAAGACCCCTGACCTAGATCTTTCCAATTCTATTCCCACACTCTTAATTCTATTCCCACACCCCAGCTCTCTCTTATACGGCTTATCTGTTAAAGATTTTCTTCAAACTGATAGCTAAGCATCAGCATTTGTGTTCTAGTTCATGAGCATTCACCCCAAGATCCTTAGCCAATGTTTGCTAATACTGTTGGTAATGCCATCGGCCCACACCCATATTTTCTTATCCTCCCCATGTCACATGAGCATCATTCAGAAACCAACCCTTTCAACAGCTACAGGCAACGCTTCCACAACAGTATCTGTTGTGCAGTGAATGGTGTTTCTATACCACTACCTTCTCCCTTAAGACCTCTCCAGGCCCAGCTAACATACTTAAAAGAAACAAGCAGGACCAGAAGATCCTGAAACAGATGCTTCATACTTCCCCAATTCTTCCTTCTCCCAGCTGAAATAAATCCTGGAAACTCAGCTGGAAAAGAGGAATACTAAACATAAAGTTCCTATCTCCTTGATCTTCCACCACTGCTCCTCCCAGCAAAAGTTTGCTAGTCACTAATATTAATAATTAGTCTCTTGTAACATTTACTTGAGGGGCGCGATGGCTCAGTGGTTAAAGATGCAGGAAAGCTGGTGGTCCGGGTTCAAGACCCGAGTGCCACGCAATGTGGTGAGCTCCTGTTACTTCTCCCACCTGCTGCCAATCTAGCAGTTCAAAAGCATACAAATGTGAGTAGGTGTGGGAAGTCAGCCCCCCCCCCAGAGAAGGAAATATTAAAGAGGCAGAAAAGCATGCTCAGTTTTCTTAATAGCCCCAAGTCTCCCTCCCCCAAGCAGAAACCAGCTCTGTAGAAATGCAAATGTAAATAATCCAGGAAGGTTGGAGCCCCCCAGCTAGAAGATTAAGAAGACAAAGACACCTAAAATCTACATACTCCACCCAAACTCTAAGATAGGACATAATAGGATCAACCCACAGATCTCAAAGGGACACAGGTCAAAGTTCATGCCACAGGAACAAGTCCAAACAAAAGGCTCCAGAGAGTATAAAAACCCACTCCCTACATGTGCTTGCTCTCTTTTCTTCCAGAGCCATCTTTCTGTCTGGCTCTCCTCTCCAATAAACTGCAATCTTCTTTCTAAAGCAGTCACCATGTTGTTTATTCCTGGCTTGGACTGAACCACAATGAAGACTTTTCCTTCAACACAGGTAAATAGGTACCACTTTGGTGGAAAAATAACAGTATTCCATGTGCTTTGGCGTGTAGTCATGCTGGCTACATGACCATGGAAGTGTTTTTGGACAACAATGGCTCCCTCAGCTAAGAAACGGAGATGAGCATCACCCCAAGAGCTGAACAATTACTTGCCAGCTTCCCCATTGATTTTTCCTATAGAAAGTTGGCAGAGAGTGCTGAAAATGGTGATTATTAGCTACAGCTGATTGCTGCAGTGCAGTGCCACAGCAGCACAGCAGTATTGTAATGACCACAACTTTGCCAAATTTCAATCCCACAGGAGTCATGCGTTCTGGATTCTGAATGCATGCTGTAGCCCATTTCAGGTTGGGCTACAGGGAAAACTTTTACTTTTGTTTCACATTTGCTTCTAACATTTTTGGAATCATAAAAGTTACTGAACCCACCAGAGCAGTGTTTCTCAACCTTGACAATTTTAAGGCATGTGGACTTCAACTCTGGCTGTGGAATTCTGGGAGTTGAAGTCCACATGCCTTAAAATTGTCAAGGTTGAGAAACACTGCACCAGAGGCAAGCAGCTCACATTATGGCTATGCTGATCCTAGTCTAACAAGAACAAACGAGATAAAAGGATAAAACCTATTTTTCTTCCTTAATCTATCAATCTGTGGATCAAACTAACAGCAAAAGAAAGAAAAAAATGCATATCTTACATTTTTTACTCTTCGGTCAGTTTCTTCTTGTCTGCAAGAAATACACACATACAGAGTCAGAAAGTTAACTTAGATTAATAGTTTAGCATAATTAATTACAGAGCAGTAACTGCAGAACAAAATTGTCTGTCATAGTCCATCCTCACACAATTAACGGAGACCATAATATTCAAGGAAAGGGTTTTTTAAAAGCAGAGAGCCCAGATGCTTGGAGAACTCTTACATCCCAGCCAAAGCACAGCAAAATGGATTTGGATCATCTCTTCATTGGGCAATTTCAAAGTCCTCAAGTTTTAAAGAAGAATTTAAAATATAGAATCCCACAAAATATTCCATCCATTAATTAAGTTGGAACAAAGGCATTTTGCCTGGTAGAGAATTTCACTAAAAAAATAAAAAAGCAAATATTTTTGTTGTGTAAGAAAATTGGACTCCCTTGAGAAGAAGTGGGTCCCATTTCAGAGACAAAATGCATGCAACACTTCCTTGCAATTCTGCAATTCCAGTAGCTGATTGAATAGCTAACAATAGTTATAACAAGTCTCAAGTTACTGGTTTATAATTGTGTTTCTCTGTGTTGACAGAGTAAAGTAAATTTTACTACTTTCCTTCACTCCAACTCTGGGGGAAAAAAAATGGATAATTGGCACTGAATTCTTATTTAACGTTCACTTTTCTAAAAAATCAGGTAGAAAATGAACTTGCAAATGAAGGCAAATATATGTGTCCCAGGATAATGTTGCAGGATCCAATCTGGTTTGGTCACCTGATCCAGAGGTTTAGTCTTCCGAGCTTTTGGACTTGTGCTGGAGCCCATCTTTAGGGAACATCTCTCTCACCAGGGTGGGTGAGAAAGAAGTTCCCTAAGGATGGGCTCCAGCACAAGTGTGAAAGCTCAGAACACTAAACCCAGTGGTGGGATTCAGCTGGTTTGCACCACTTCGGCAGAACCGGTAGCTAATTTTTTGTTGCCCAGGCCCAGAACGGACTTCCGGAAGTGGCATCCACACAGAGAACCAGTTGTTCACATATTTGAATCCCATCACTGACTAACCTCTGATTCTAGTGACCAATCCAGTGAACTTATAACAGTGACCAGGATTGGAGGATCTCGATGATAATAATGCAATTTTCAAAGGCCAGAAGTCAAATCAGTGACAAAAGTAAGATGGCTTCAGAGAAAGGCACCATGGGAATCATATCTCTCTAGGGCAGGGATCCTCAACCTTGGCAATTTTACAACTTGTGGACTTCAGCTCCCAGAATTCCTCAGCCAGCAAAGTCGTAAAGTTGCCAAGGTTGTGGACCCCTGCTCTAGCGGTCCTGTTTAAAACTGCTAGTTTACAGTATACATCAGATAATTGATGGTGGACACAGAAAATTCATCTCAAAATTTTCAGCAACGTGTAGGTTGGTTGCACATTCTCGGACTGACCTCTGTTATCTCTGGACCAGTTGGAGAAAGAATCATCTCTTGAATGTGCAACATCCTCTTTAGAGAAAGCGAAAGGTCACTTTCGCTTCAAGATACCATAATTGATTTATAAAATGATTACATGAAATAAATGAGAACATTGGTAGAAGAAAAAAGAACACGATGTTAGAGTGGAGAAATATGTCGAAAGCTCTTATATCCTACGTGCTGTTGCAAATCTATACTGAAGGATACAATTAAATGCCCGTCATAAACATTACTGTGACTTTTTATTCTCAGTGATGGATTAATATTTGACTAATTCAAGTACAGGGGAAAAAAAATCCATGCATAATATAATTTTACTCACTTAGCATTCTGAACATTTTAGTATTGTTCCCAGGGGTGAAGGTTGCAAAACCCACCATTTGTTTAATGAAGAAATAAAAACAGTAAAAGGAAATTAAGACACCAGCACTTCAAAGTGCTTCCTTCTCCTGGCCAATACAAATATTTCTATTATATTTACAGTTGAAACAGGAGAAGAATGTTCTTTTGATTACTCTGAACTCAGCAACAGGACACCACGTGGCCTGGTTAAGGCAAAATTTGCATTGGATAGTTCAGTCTAGGACTCAAAACAATGGGCTGGCTTAAACAGGGGCTTATTCAAGGCAATGCAGACAGCTCAGCCAATCAAGAGAAGGATTGAGATGGCTAATCAAGGATTCGGAAGCCTTCTGAAACTCTTAATTTTTTACTCCTGGAAAACGTTGAGTCTCATCAGCTTAACAAATTGTTGAGATGCTTGAAATTGCTAGCACCTAAGGAACATTTCCATTGTGATTATGGCACGGTGCTTAGTTTTATTTTGTTCTGTTTCCTTTCAATAACATGCTTGATATTTCCTCTTGGCTCTTACATAAGCTCTTTTGTTCTTGGAGAGTCACAGATGAAGCTGAAGACAATGGCCTTGAAGTGCTTTTTTTTAAGCAGCTTCCATAGAAATGAGTAGCAAGTTTTATCCTTAGTGCTCTTCACCTGGCCTTCTTTCCATAAGAGGACTCATCATGAATGGCATCAAACAACAGTGGCTTCTCAACCACCTGCCATCTGAGATAGCCAAGATCTTGCATGGGTGCCATCTGCTTAGAACAGGCCTAACCCTAATCCTCAGATACAGCCTGTTCCCCATTATTTCTTCTTCTCTTGTATCAGCTCCCAGGAAGATCAAGACCACTTCACAGGTTCACCAGGAAGCCATGCTTAATGACCCACCTAGGAGAAAGGGTATAGGAGCAATGATTCCTCGCCTATTTGAGGACATGTATGGGGTCCCCCAAACCAACTTGCTTAGACTGAAGAAGATAGGCTTAAGATATGGGTGGATCTGGACAGACTTGAACACTGAGCACTATCTAACAAAATGAAATTAAATGGTGAAAAAGGTAAGGTTCTACATTTAGGCAAGAAAAACCAAATGTACAGGCATAGTACAGGGGATACCTTGCTCAATAGTAACAACTGTGAGAAGGATCTCGGAGTCCTAGTGGACAATCACCTAGATATGAGCCAGCAGTGTGCTGCAGCTGCCAAAAAAGCCAACACAGTGCTAGGCTGCATTAACAGAGGGATAGAATCAAGATCACGTGAAGTATTAATACCACTTTACAATGCCTTGGTAAGGCCACACTTGGAATACTGCATCCAGTTTTGGTCACCATGATGTAAAAAAGATGTTGAGACTCTAGAAAGAGTACAGAGAAGAGCAACAAAGATGATCAGGGGACTGGAGGCTAAAACATATAAGGAACAGTTGCTGGAATTGGGTATGTCTAGTTTAACGAAGAGAAGGACAAGGGGGGGACATGATAGCAGTATTCCAATATTTCAGGGGCTGCCACAAAGAAGAGGGAGTCAAGCTATTCTCCAAAGCACCTGAAGGCAGGACAAGAAGCAATGGAAACTAACCAAGGAGAGAAGCAACCTAGAACTAAGGAGAAACTACCTGACAGTTAGAACAATTAACCAGTGGAACAACCTGCCTCCAGAAGTGGTGAATGCTCCAACACTGGAAGTTTTTAAGAGGAGACTAGACAGCCATTTGTCTAAAATGGTATTGGGTTTCCTGCCTGAGCAGGGGGTTGGACTCGATGACCTCCAAGGTCCCTTCCAACTTTATTAGTATTATTACTTGGATAAGTAGCTAAATGTTTCAAACCAAAAGGAAAAGAAGTCCCGTTGCCGTGACTCAACTTCCAGACATCTGCTGGCTAACTTCTCTTCTTTCATCAGTCTTTCAGTGTCTCCCTCTCGTTCTGCCCACAGCTTTGGCCCATACCCTTTACTGCCCTGCACAGCTGCACATTCCTCTGCCCATCGCCCACTCCAATCTTGGACAATAACCTCAGTGAGCAGGGCTTGGGCAGAACAGATAGATGCCCTGGTTTGCTTTAGATTGAGGGAGCCGATTGGCCTAGCCATGCTGTATCTGCTGTCCCCTTCTACTCAACCAAGAATTTACCCATTTGTGCCTTGAGTCACCTCGATGACCAATGCAGGAAAGGAAGAAGGTGTGGCAGAACTAAAAGGAAGATTCACATCCTAAAAAACCTTCTTCTGGGCAGCTGCGCGTCCATTCCTGGGAAGGCTATTCAATACATTTTAAGTCACTGTTCATCTCAGGCGAGAAGTCAGACAGACACACAAACCATCCCGGAAATGCTCCATTTCTGAACAGAATGGTTAGCCCACACAAATACACACCCTACATTGAAATCAGCTCAAGAATGCAAGCAGGAAGTCTTCCTCCATTTTTTTTCTCCTCACTCCATGATGCAGCCAAGGCTGTGAAAGTTGACCACAGACTCTAGTCCAACTCCAGTTTAAAATTCTTGTGCTAATGTAGGTTTTGTGGAAGGGAGACCAAAGCACATTAGCCCTTTGTGACTTAAGATTATTCAGCTATAATCTCATATCCATGGCCTGGGTCCCTCTGTATATCTGGATGGCAACATTCTGCTAGGATCCGGGGTCAAAGTCAGAATGAATCCTAGCTGAAATTAGAAAGGCTCACAGCTTCTTCTGCAACCTGGGGGATACGATGTAGATCAGGGGTCTTCAAACGTGGCCCTTTTATGACTTGTAGACTTCAACTCCCAGAATTCCTCAGCCAGTGTGCCTGGCTGAGGAATTCTGCGAGTTGAAGTCCACAAGTCATAAAAGGGCCAAGTTTGAAGACCCCTGATGTAGATGAACTTCACTTCTGGTTGCTCTACACACTTCCCTCAAACCTCTGAATCCTTTTCATGGCTCTGCAAGTCTAGTTTGGTTCTTCTCAGATGCAGGAGATGGTTTGCTAGATTTGGGTAAGCAGCCGGAGTGCTCTTGATTCTAAGGTCTCGGTGACACCAATTTTTTGGCTTCTTCTGATATCTTCTGTCACCCCTACTCCTAGACCAGGGGTAGGCAACTTTGGCTCTTTTATGACTTGTGGACTTCAACTCCCAGAATTCCTGAGCTAGCCATGCTGAGGGGAGAGGTTTCCAAGTTGAGCCATGCTGGCTCAGGAATTCTGGGAGTTGAAGTCCATGAGTCATAAAAGAGCCAAGGTTGCC